CGTGTCGTCCTCCAAGAATCGTAATTTCATTGTCTTACCAGTTATTTTTCATATTGTAGACGTAGGACGTACACATCTTGTACATTGTAGACCATCTTATGAAATAGAAGATATAAATTTATATTATATATAAATATATACAGGGTGTCACAGAAAATCTCGAAACCCATAGCTTCCTGGTGTCAAAACAAGTGAAGAGTAATTAAAAAGTTGAAAGATGATAGTTTCACATTTGTTTTGACATGGAAAGTTTACCTTTTTTGGGTTGTATGATGTTTTTGAGGCTCCCTGTGTATTATATTTAGAGAGAGAAAGATGGATATATAGAATGAAATATATATGTGAGAGAGAGAGAGGGACAGAATGAGAGAGAGAGAGGGACAGAATGAGAGAGAGAGAGAGAGTGCGAGCGAATGAAAAAGACAAGCAAGTAAAATAATTTAGAAATACTGAAATTTTCTTTCTGTAACACCTTCAAATATTCTATATCGAAGGAACAAATAATGAGAAAAGTGAAGAAAAAAATAACAAGCAAACTCTGTGAACATGTAAGTTTCTTTTTCTCTGTCAGTTGGATTTACTGCCGAACTGTTAGAAACCGTCCTTATTAGGCAAATATATTCCCTGTTTCACGAGCAGGAATGAAAGGAAAATTTGAAATTCGAAAAGACAAGAATAAACGCTTAGCTGGTAAGAAATTAGAGTAGTATCGCGCCTCAGTTATCCGCCATTTATATTTTTGTGGAATTCATGCTCAAAGTAAGACTGCCAAGTAATCGGGACACTCCATATTTCTTGTATTTTGTACCTATTTAGGATTGAATAGAATTTAGAATCTTTCATTTACACTGGTTTATATATTTCCTTCTCCCTGCTTCCCTGCTTTTTTTTTTTTTTTTAAATATTCGCATAATATTTTCTCTAAGATTGTTCCTTTTGTCCCATCTTGTTACTCGTTTCTTCTAATTTTTTTTTCTTCTATAGTTATCGTAGATATCCTAGATATTTAACCTTAATCAAGGGGAGAGTCTGGACCCAGTCTCTTCAGGATCCACCGGGGAGGGATAAAGAATCAAAAAGATACCGCAGTTAGCCTTAGTACCTTCGGATACCTTCATATCTTTCTGATTAAATGTTTAAAAATATAAAAGAGTATCCTAAGGGCTATGATTTCTTTAAATGATAAATTCGTGTCAGTGAGAGGGAACAAAAACTTACTGACCGAAGGAGAAAGAAGTGCCTACTTTGTATGCATGTATAATGCATCGGATTTGTAAGCTGCATTAGTAAATAGTGATAGCATATCGTTTGGATAAATTTTAGCAGTAAATAAAGAGGATCATACGCACACATACAATTTGTATCGTAAATGTGTTACGTATAGTAGTGAGCATGATAGACTTCCCTAGGGAAGATGGGGATGTAGAGGGTGAAGATCCCATCAAAACCCTAAAAAGAAAAATTAATATAATAGGTTTCAAAACTTAAATTTCTAAATTCAAACTTTTAAGTTTACAGGTGGATGGGAGCCTTTTTCACCTAGAGCGCCATTTTCCTTAGTAAGTCTACCATGCTCGGTGCTGTACGTGGTTCCTTGCGACTATGTTAAGCGATAAGATATATATAAAAATATATATTTTTTAATATATAATTATATATTTTATATATAATTATATATACATATATATGTATACATAATTATAGTGAGCGTCCTAGTTCAGAATTGCTGGAGATACGAGTGATAATTGATTAGTAACGACTGTTTATGCGTTATTCTCCTTATTATTTAATAATTCATGGCTTTTGCTCGTTGATGCTAATTCATTGTTTACAGGAGACGAGGAGGTATCGTTTCTTTATCGCGACAAAGTATTAGAAATATAAATTGATTAGTTTTTAAGGTTTATGAACAATAAAAAATTTACTTTTACGCCGTTTGTCTTTATTGCGTCCAACGATTATTGTGTAACTACTGCCCAACTTATGTTTCTCTCGCACAAATGCGCATGGAATTAAAGAAATAAATGTCAGCGAGTAATTTTAGTAGTTCCTATCATTCTTATTTTACCTTTACCTCTGTCAGATTTGGATTTATTACAGCGGACCTCGGAGAACCTTAGCCAATATTTCGTTGATAAGTTTTTAGGGACCGATTAACGTTTAAAACAATATATAATTCCATTAAAAAAAAAACAATATTGACCTTGAAATTTTTGGAACATCTTCATTTCCGGTGCTGAGACATGAGTCATGTGATGCTCCATTCGGCGCCATTTATTTTTTTCTATTTTATACCATTTTACAATCATAACTTGGCCCAGTAGGTTGGACACCCTGTATACGGTAGCTTTGGATCAATATGAAGAATTAATATACACACTTAAGGGAAAATTAATATCGTTACAATGTGTCATAAACAGTTGATATATACTTATCAAGTCTTATTCCTCAGTGAATCATTAACACGTTAAAAACAAATTATTAATCATATAAGTGCAAGGCTAATTTATAGTAATCTAAGACAATTGTAGTAAGATTAGTATTAATCTTCTTTGTTTTGGAAACTATTTTCAAATATTAATTAACGTTAAAGCTTGAATATATAGGATACCAAAATGGTATTTGGTACCAATGGTACCTAAGAATATCTAATGGTATCTAAGGAAGCTCAATGGTACTTAATAATATGTAAGGGTATCAAATGCTAAAGGGTACCAAGTAGTATTTAAGGGTACATAATGAAACCGAATATCATTTAATAATAAGGGGTATCTAATAAAATATCAAGGTTACCGTAGAAAATAGATACGAGAGGTGAGTGTAAGATTGGTACGGGTAATTCCTGTACGAGATAATGGGTCGATTTCACGGCGAGTTAAAGCGGACCTTTGCATCCGAGTTACTAATCGGCAAAATGAGAATAATCTTCGTGTCCCCTGATGCAGCGCGGACAGAGGGATTTGAAATTGGTTGGACCTCGAGTTGAGTTTCGTTTCACTGATCATTAATTTCCAACACACTTGTGTTGTAAAGACCCCCTGCAACCATTTTGCGATTTAATAAATTGCACCGGTGTACCGATAGGAATCGTACACGGTGCCATCGGTTTCATTAAGATTTGAGATGAAATTGTAATTGAGAAGTAAGGTTTTCAGAATCATACCTTTTTTCAATTAATGACAGACACTGCAAATTCGGAGATGTAAAAATATTAACGTTGCAACAGCCACTTTGACAAGCTGCAAACGGTCAGGTGGATAGCTGCGAGGTAAGGAATAATGAAACGTAAGATGTTTCGCATACACAGGGACGAAATAAGCCAGAGGACAGAATTTTCTTTAGAGGATTCGTTCGGTTTGCAGGCCTGGAAGCGACCGCATCAGGGGCAACGGCCGGTCAAAGTCCTACCTTCGACATTCTATCCCCTCCATTATCTTATTCCTGTCTTTCTTCTTTACTGTTCCACCTTTCCATACGACTTAACTCTTCTTCCCCCTTCAAACCCGTTTCACCTTTCCTTTTTCTTTTGGATTTACCTTTCTTGTCCCCTGTTGCCTTCAGCCTCATATTTTCGGCGTTACCTCAGCTATTCTCATTCTCAGGCTTCCATCTTATTTTAAAATACATGAAAAATTAAAATTAGCCAAATTTAAAAAAATGAATTATCCTTTTGGTACTTTTAAAAATCACCCTTTTTAATACGAAAAGTTATAAAAGAGAAATAATTTTCAGTCTTTGCATGATAAAATAGTGAAAGGAAAGGGATACTTAAGAAAAATGAGGTGTTCCTGTTTTGCAAATTCTTTGAAATCACTGAAATTGCTCAGGTTTTCCATTACTCGATGATAAGCCTTATATCTCACGTACATACTTGTAAATAGAGAAAAAAAAGAAGGATGTGACGATAAGTGAAATTAATTATCACGATTGTGGTATGTTGCGATTTCAACATGATTCGGTGAAATCATCTATGAGATTAAAATTAATCATGATTTTGTTTCGTAATCCTTACTGGTGTATTACTATACTCTATTTCGCTCACTATTGATTATAAAATTGGATAAAATTAAGTAGGTGAACGAAACTAATACTCCTGATCATTAGTGTTGCTATTGTTTAACAAACTCTGAATAACTATTCTAAGATACCATTAAGGTGGGAATCACAATCAATGAACACAAATAGATATGAAAGATTGTAAGTCTATTTTTAAAGTCACGAGGCTTTTTTTTGTTGCCTGATAGGGTAAATAATTTATTTATCCAATTCCATACTGTATGCAGTTACCCTACATTTGTAAACACATACAATGGCCTTAACAATTCACATTACTTAATATATTATAAAAACAACTGAAATATTCAATATAAATTATTGAAAAAAAAGAACAAATTAAATTAGAGATAATAATAATTATAAAGCACAGGATTGATAGAGATATAGCTTCTCTAATTAAAAATCAATTAATACCTTGACTTTTCAGTTTCAATGATAATTAAAATAGCAAACATCAGTATTAATTTATTAGTAGAGATAAAGCTATTTTTGTTTACTGATAAAAATGTAGTACGCTTGAATGAATATTACGCATCGTTCGTACTAAATGTTTCTACGAGTTCAAGATTGAAGAGAGGATCAGTCCCTTACATAAACTTTATGTAACATGTTTCCACCAAACTCTCGGATTAAATCTGGAAGGCAGACATTAAACAAAAATTAATTTAAAAATTTGCTCCACATCATAGAATCTTGTTCATATAAAAGTGGAAATATTTTTCGCTGCTCACTATTGCCCCACATAGATTTTTCAGAATAGGTATCAATGATTCCTATTGCGTATTTCAATTCCAGAACGATGTTATCTGTTCTTATCAAGAAGAACAAGTATCCGTATAATAATGACTATACCTACTTCGGCTAGTTACGAGTTTCTTGAAGCGTTGTCACTCAATGCTACTGCGCAATCGTCGCCGTTGATAAGAAGTAAGATTTACCGGCTAACAGAATTCAGTATGTATTCGATCAACAATCTATCCATCAATATCGCGGAAAGTATTCGGTGCGTTGTGTTCATTTGTAAAAATAAAAGTGGTCCAGCGGAGTCTGAGCGTGCCGGCAGTGAAGCGGTTAAGCCTGAGTGTCCCGGAAGCAGTCCGGGAGAGCCTGAGCGTTTCGTGGAGAACCCAAGACCGTCGCATCCTGTGAAAACCAACTAGACGATTAATAATAGATTCTTCAAGATGAGCACTGTTTTAGCTACGTTTGCGGTTCTCAAGGACCATGTTAAATTAAAGGTCACACAGGACTATGTGGCCATCGACAGCATGAGTAATGAAAACTTTTCTACTTGATTTGTTATGTTTTTTCTTTGTTTATGGTAAAAAGTAATTGGTGAATTGCGATTAGTTTTCAAGTTACACTACAGGGTCACGTTTCTGATACTGTTGGTTGCCACGCTTCTGGTGACAGCTAGACAATTCATTGGAGAACACATCAGGTACCGAAGGTTTACACATATTGTTTGAAGTCTCAAGACAGTTTTTGAATATAGATTATGAAACGAAGAAAGCCCACGTGTAAAAAGTCTATCTGCTAATTGAAGAGAACTATATTTTCTGAAAGTTACATTTTATTGTTTTGACGACATTGTATCTACCTTGATTAAAGATTTAAGATATACTGATAAACTGATAAAAACTTGTTCGTACAGTTTTAATATTACAAGGATTATACATTGTTATATGTACTTATGAAATATAATATTTCATTATATTTCACTGATTTTATTATAAATTATGTTGTAATTTCTAAATATACGTAATGTGATAACAAGTTTATTAAGTAAGACATTACAATGTAATGATTAAGTATTCTGTTATATCAGTATCAGCATATCTTGATTATATTAGCTCATCCCATAAGTTCGTGCCGTTTTTTGAACGGTCCCATGTGTTAATGTCTTTAAATGTGTATGAATTGTTGTTTTTGGTATTTCTAGAATATTTGACATCTCATGAACTGATAAATTAAGTGATTTCTCTACAAGATCTTGAATTTTGTCTTCCTGTGTGTGAGAAAAACGATCAGAACGTTCCTCATCTTCTAAACAAAAATTCTCATCTTTAAAACGTGTAAACCATTTTCTACAGTTACGAGATGAAAGAGCAGTTTCTCCGCAAACAGCATATATTTGTCGCAATTGTTACCGAACTTCCTTTTCGAAATTCATATAACATTAGATGTCGGAAATGAATACGAATTTCACTCATCATTTTTAACTATTAAAAATCAATCCGTTCACTATTTCACGATCCCATACCCATGAAAATCTCTTTTAGACTGCCCTCAAACAAATAAACTGAAGTGCATTGGTTTCTTATCGCCTTGTGTTTATAAATCGAGGCGTGAAATGTATACATACAAAAGTCGGCACGAACTTATGGGATGACCTAATACATAATTAGATGGAATGAGTAATTCATAAACTTCAGATAAGACTATTTATAACATTGGTAATATAACTGGACATAATGCCCAAAGAAAACGATTCACACCTAGGATTTAGAGCCTCCCTAATAGCTACCCAGGGTAGCATAGGTTCAAGTACCTTATCCTAAAACCCCAATTTATGCCGGGAAAACCAAAATTTCTGAACAGCTTAATTATCAGTAAAAGAAGATTATCTTAAGCCTTAGGACTTAAGGAAACAGTTTTCTTCTGTTTCAACTATTATACCTGAAAAATTCCACAACACTCTAGGACGAATACGACCCATGTTGAAACAGAAAATAATGAAAACTGTGAAACAAAGTGAAATAAAAAGACAACTAAAAATTATTTAAACAGAGGTAATAAAAAATATGTTAAACACCATTAAAATTTCTATTTTTACGAATAAGGTGCATTGGAGGTGCTGGGATGAGCGATGATCAGGTCAAAGTGATCAACACTTTCTGTTTCTTCACATCCACCTATACTGTGGTAAATATTAAACTTATCTAAGTAGAAAATTTAATGACACGAAGCGATCGAATCGCTTCAGCAAAGGTGTTATAAGTTTGGAATGCTGAAAATAAATTTCATAGGTGAAACACATGAACGCCACAGCGGTTGGACTGGGCGAAGTTGCACACCCTGGCGTGGGACCAGCCAGCAGAGACGATCCCGTGGTGCACCATGCCTACTACCAATGGGTGCCCTTCGTTCTCTTCATACAGGCGATCTGCTTTTACGCGCCTCACTACCTGTGGAGGAATGTTGAAGGTCAGTCCCTCTACTTACCTTCGAACCGACCTTACGTACCTTTCCCACATACTTCTATTTGCTTTCCTTTTGTCTGGAAAGAGATTTTAATATTTTACCAGCGAACGATCTCCATTTATTTAGCAAAGCATAAAAAATTATTACAAAAAACAATTCAATAACGAAATACCATCGATTGATAACTTACTGCATATTCATAAGAAGCATCAGTTAAATGGGTTATTCTTGATAATATTCTTGACAAGATTAAAAATTATAATCACAATTAGCTACCTGGTAAATGCCAACCTGTTTATAGCGTATACTGACGTAGTTTAAGGTAAAAAATATGCATTAATACAGGAGGTCGGCTGAAAACGTTGGTGTCTGGTTTGCACATGGCGTCCTTGGCTCTGCGCGAGAAGTCTTTTAAAACTGATAATGGCATTTCGGTTCTCTCCACGAGCGAACGTGACGATAAAATACGACAGATTCGTGTCGCTTTCTTAAACCGTGTCCATTTGAATCGACCGTGGGCGTACTACCTGGGCCTCTGCGAGGTTCTCAATTTTATAAATGTCCTGGTGCAAATTTACGTGACCGATTGGTTCCTTGGTGGAGCTTTCCTTGGACTTGGTCAGGCAGTAGCCGCGGGCAGTGCTAATGGAGAAATGGATCCTTTGGACGTTGTATTTCCCAAGGTGCATTATCTAAGTATTCATTAACTAGTATTGTTATCTGTTAAATACAAAAGCTTCATTCGATGCTTTGGTTTTGATCGACATTCCAGGTGACCAAATGTGTCTTCCACAAGTATGGTGCTTCGGGAACCATCCAGAACCACGACGCGTTGTGCGTGATGGCGCTGAACATCGTTAACGAGAAAATCTATCTGTTCCTCTGGTATTGGTTCATCATTCTTGCGGTGCTAACCGGTTTAGGTTTGCTTTGGAGAATACTGACTATGCTGCTGCATGCCAGGTTACTACTATTTATTGCCTATATGTGGTTCTACGATTGTAATCTTTCCAAGAATTCTATTCCTGATTCTTCTGGTCCTGTCTGGTCAACTTTGTTTCCAAATTAACAATAATATTTTTCATTTCTGTCGTAGATAATCGTTGTTTTAATCGTAGAGAATTAATTTTTCACCTAAAATAATCAGCTTTTCATTGGATCTTTGCAAATCATTCAAACATGTTATTTCATGACATGTGAGATCTATGTTATCAGAGGAGATAAAAACAATGAAAACGTTTTTTTAACGTGTCTTATATTTCATTCTGTCTCCAAGTTACAGTAATTTTTGTCTTTCGGTAAATGTCGTTTGGTCTTCCTTTTTTGAACGAGTCTTATCTCAGATTTTTTTATCCAATATTTCTTCAAACCATTCTAAATTCATAAATTAAATTATATACATATCACAAGCAAATGTTTTCAGGATTGTACAAGAATGCCTTTGATATATAGGTTCATTCAAAAAAGGAGAACCACATAACTGTGAATTCTATCACAAAAATTGTTATAATTTGGAGTCAAGATTAAATATGATATTCCTAGGAATTTTCTCCATTATTTCATATCTCTAAATTATGGTTTAATCGATCCCACATATTATGAAACATCCTGTATACTGCCCCTGAGTTTCCAATTAACAAATTAGCTTCTACAATCACAATTATTCATTCTCACCTCAATTCTTATAAAAATTATTTCTTTAATTAATTAATTAAGTACTTTTTCACCACATAGGAGTACCCTGTTCAACAAAATGGTGTTCAGTATGGCCTGTCCAGGGAGATTCTCACCATGGAACGTACTAACAGTCACTAACGAATGTCATTATGGAGACTGGCTGTTTCTTTATTATATAGCTAAGAACTTAGATAATTATGTGTTCAAAGAACTTCTACAAAAATTAGCTGAGGATCTGCAAGAAAGACGAACTCTAAAACAGAATCCCCCTCAAGAGGAGCAACCGTTAACTCATTGAATATCACTGGTTCAAGGCTTTCAATCGAGCATGCCTAAGCTTCGACCAAAGAACATTTTGTCTTCTACAGACAATGTTTTATACTGGTATATATAATACCATACAATCGACTAGATCCATTTTGTAATTAATTTTTCAATTGTAATACTGAAATAATTTTTGCGGTCATTTCTTAATCTTTTTTCTTTTTTTAAATCAGTCATAAATGACAATCAATTTTTAATTGTAAGATATTATTATCGAACATAGTATTTATTGTATTTATTTCGTAGAAATATTACCTAAAGTATGACATAAAGTTAAAATTCCATAGAAGTGGTACTGCTGTTTCATATCCGACGGTCTTTTGATAACATTTCATATCACTGGCGGTGATAATAGTGATCCAACTGAAAGTGTAGAGATTTTTCGAAATCTTCTCTTTCCTGTAATGTAAATAACGATTGTATAGTACTTTTTTTAACTGAATGTCAAATTACACTGTTGGTTAAATAAAAGTATAACACAACTTGACAAATTCAAGTGTGCACAAAGTAAACACGCTGAACATATTGAACTGACCTCTCCAGCTGCACAATAGTCGACAATAGTAATCATTAAATCGTTCGGGAGGTTGATTGGCTTTGCGACATGGCTTGCCCTCAAATTAGACCATTCACGTTCACCTGATGAATCAATTTAATCTGATTACGAACTAGGTTGACAAGGAGAGTGTAAGACCTTCGGGTTACCTAGACTTTGAACATTATTTTTCGTCATTTTGTTGCCAAATATCACTATATAAAACAAAAATTTATAAAACATCAGTTTGGACGTCTGGTACTTCATTAGAGAGACACTGGAATAATTTAAAAATAAAAATTTTATTTCACAAGACGCAAGGTTTAGAAATCTAACGTTTGTATGTACTTTGCAGTCCTTGGTCTTGTTTTTTAAATTTTTTATCAGAAGGTTTGTTAGAAAACATTCTGCTACTCCAAGGCTGACCACGGTTCAACAATTACCTGTAAATTTATCTTAGAAATGACAAACTTTTCCTTCTTGGTAACAATTCATGGGGAGATTCATGATTTCAAGAAACACTGACGTAGAGGCTGAATGCATCGATCGCAAGAAAAAATTGTGGACCGGAATTACATTGAAATTGAAATCACAGAAAGCGGAACGGGTTCATTGTTATACATATACCGTCATAAATTATTTTTAATTTAAATGACATTCTTAAAGTAGAATTTACGTAACATCATCTTGTATTTAATGCTGGTGACTTTATTTGCAATTTTAATTTTCTTCCAAATTTTTTATGCAACGAAAATTAGGTACTAAATTCATTAGCATTTCGACTATGTATTTTCATACTTACGTTCAAAAATTAACAAATTTCATATAGATATGAATTCATCGACATGAACGGAACAAACTGATTACACAATTGTTAGCTTTTTATCAGTAACTGGCGGTAAAAAAAATATTTGACCTTGTCATCATAAATACGGTAATTGAATCTGCTTCTTTAGAAAGAAAAAACGACTTGATAAGAAACCATTCGTCACAAAACTTCTAAGACAGGAATTAAAAAGAAAGGAAAAAGAAAGCAGTTCATATAAATCAGACATTAAAACGATCAATTTTAAAACAATGTAAAAAGAATATCTAGATCGAGTAAACTTAAAGAATAAAATAAACACTTAGGCTTGAATTCTTTCTTCGCCTGGTAACAGTACCTCTTTAAAGATACATATGTACTATGTATCTTTAACATTAGCACTGGGTGCCTGTTTACATTTTCTTGAGCCAGAGAATATTTACGTACTCGATGAGTTTTGAACGTTAAAATCTTCCACTATCGTACAACGAGCAATCGGAACATTTACAGAGATATGTTTATATACACAACATACTTGTATCAGTACGAATGATAGAAAAACCAAGAGGCAATGAAAACTTTCTGTACATAACAGAAATATTGATCAATGTAACCTGTGAAATATTTATACATTTACAAACTGAATTAACCATTGGTGTAATTAGAAAAGTGTTAGGGTGGATCTGCCCCTTCTTCCAAAATGTAGGTTGGCCCCCTCATTACTCTAATAACAAGATTCTAAGGTTTAAAAATTCAAAAATTCCAATATTCTAGCATTAAGAAACCTGGACTGTGTCTCTAAAAAATTAGAGACACATTGCAATTGACAGAAAACATTTGTCAGTCACGATGAAAGTTGTTTAGCATGGTCAATAAAATGTTCGCAAACGCAGTAGATTAAAAGATAAACTGTGGAATCTCGTTACGAGATCTTTGTTAACTTCTTTCGCGTGCGTGGCAGAGTAAGCCACGACCGGAACACAATTCATTATGTTCTCTCTCACAACCGGGAAATGACGAATGTGGACCGCGGGAAGGCTGTTCTGATGACACGCTGATGCATTTGATGCAACTGTTCAGATAATTGTCTGACACTACGAATTTTATAATATTAATATTATAATCGAATAATTAAAAGAAGAAAAGATTTAAAAAAAATTCTAAGTGTTATTGATATTTTCTGAATATTCTGAATTAACGAATGAAACGTTTGAATTTGAAAATAAAATGATTGCGTTTAAATGATAACGTGTTATGTTACATCCGTTTGCAGCATTCAACTTGCTAAATTAAAAACCTTATTGTCTTGACTAACAATGAGATCAGGCTTACAAAAGAATATCTGCAGTTGCATCAAATATGTTTTTCAAATGCATCGAACACGCAAATAGAAAAAAATTTCGAATAATACCTACGTATCGAGATCAAGATCAAGTGTAATTGCTGGTTAACTCGTGACTTCCTGCAACTTATTTTCTACTTCCTCTTTCACACAATTCATTCTTGAAACGAGGAAGATAGTCAAGAATTGAGATATTATATTTTACATTTTACATCGATCAAAATATGAATTTTATGAATAATGACACAAACAATTTAACCAATAATTGGTGCATGAAAGTGAAATCGATCATACCGATTCCTTTCGCCACCTTCACTTTTTTTCCTTCCTGAAATTCCTCGACTATATCTTTAAATTAATATTATAATATTGAAAGCACGATAGAAAATTTCAATAACGTAGTTAGATCTCACAATTTGTTAGCTTTCGAAAGGAGAGAAGCTGTGACTCACGAAACAGCTAAGTTACTGTGTTTACTCATTCTGGAAATCTGTCTCTTTGTCGTCAGTTCAAAGGAATTTCTTTCAAAGAACAAAGGATGTAAAAGGAAGACTACAAAACCCTAGATAAATATTAAGAATATTAAACATATAAACTGATTAATCGATTAATCAATTAACACTCAAGTAAATAAAGAGCAGGGGTACAAAGTTAAATGTCTTCTAGATTCGTCAACACAAAGCAGACTATTCAATCAGCAAAATATTTCAGGAATGTACTTAGCGTTGTCCCTTTATGATCGAGTTTATACCTTGAAGAGTTCTGAGCAATTAAGCGCAAGGCCTCTTCAAGAGTAAAAGGAAAGTGGATCAGATGAGCCCTAAGGCATGTTTTCGAATCTCCTGAACTCAATTATATACCAATTGCTGTGAACCTACTAATGGCACAGACAGTAATCTATACTTTCTATTACAAAATAAGTAACACAATTTCGGTAGAATTTTCTCTCCTGTACATTTGATAGTCTCCACCGGTAGCGCAAGTAAGATATTCTGGGAACGTTTGGAACATAAGGGGGTATAGCGAATAAAAATGCATTCCGTATTTCGTTCAGTACCTACATTGTACCTTTCGTGACTAGAGTTTCAATTAACTCGTGTCTTCAGCAAAGAAACACGAGTTTCGTAGAATAAAGAAAAAAACAATGAATAATATCTCTTCTTGTGAAACGTATTAGGTGAATTTTTTAAGAGATGCATTTTTTATTTCTATCTCCTCAGAAATACAGTTTCAAAAACCCACAGTACAGCTAGCCAAAGATACAGTTAAATGACTGTAAGAGAAAGTCTCTTTCATCCCAACAGAACAGTGGGCTCTATATAAAAAAATAGTGTGGGAAATTGGGCTTGAGGACATAAATTAGTGGAACATTCAACAACCCTCAGGTCATGGATCAAATGAGCAACAAGTGGGTTCTCAACTTGGAATCTAAACTATACTTTTGTTCATGAATTTTGAATTATCTTCTTGGTTCGTATGATTTCTACATACAAATATTCGAGGAAGCAAGTAAACAACGGTAGCGTTATGTCGAAGCTGACTTTATTCGAAACGTGTCTTTGGTACTGGCGAAGATCCACGTAGCACGTGTGTGCATGGATAATGAGGTTAGCCTGTGGCTATCGTGTAAACCTCGGCCACTGTAAAGGTATTTACACAGCGACTTGTTTAACTCAACGCAGGCAACAGTGCCCTTATACAGTAAGTTCCAGCTTTTCTTTTTCTCTACATACATAAGGACACGCCTTGTGTGCTGGATGCAGCTCTGTCCCCTGGGTAATTTTCACTCGTCTGCCTTTATTTGGAATTAAAACAATCTGTGCGCCTTTTAAACTCGTTGGACGAAGGCTTAGAAAATTGTGACATTTTATAAATGTTTTAAAGATATATAAAATAATTTCTGTCTACCCTTGACATGATCTCAGAATATTTCATCTGTCAGATTGTGACATCAGACGCCATTAAGGGGTCTGGTCGCTTTCTTTTCTACTCCCACAATCTTATCTTTTCAACATGAGCCTGCCTCTGCAATCTACCACGAAATTCTTATTCTTGAACGGAGACCACAGTGACTATCAGTGAGCAAACATACACAGGTAGGTATCAAGGTGAGGGACCGAAAAATGCCTCATAAAAATGCCTAACTGCTCAAGAACCGTTATGTGTTCCTCTATAAAAACTTTAAATAGAAACACTGACTTTCTTGCTTGAAGACATTAAAACAAAGACTTTTAATAAAGCTAGAGAAACTGGTCTATCCAGCAGTGCCATCTTAAGGCATGGGCATGCTGGGCAGTCGTCAGGATCCCTATGATTGGACGGTCTTCCAAATAAAAAGCTTATGGTAGAAGCTTCAGTATACTGTTTTATCTAGCATCTACAATGCTGTTAAGACGGCTCTACATTCTAGAGAAAAATCTTAGTTACGCCATTGTTAGTACTACATAAATTTCTCAAATATTCAATGTAGGATTATGCAGTTTAGTTTGAAGAACTACAAGGACCAGACGCGAGCATAGCCGACATACATTCGTCACAATTGACACGATTGACTTGCAGTGGTACTCAACTGGACCCTATCCATATAAACAGCTTTGATGGGATTTAGAGAGTGCATATGCTTCAAATATTGAATCAGAGAGGGTCCATGGTTCTTATCAGAAAAATTCAGCCTATCACGAAGGGATAACAATTTATTCGTTTACCTGGTTGTACAGTCTACTGCGAACAACATCGGTGGAATTTATATAAGCTCTGGGTGGAAACGACTGCTTAATTTATTCAAGATTCCGGGAAATGCGGTTTAAGTAGCATTCTTAGTAAAATGCTCGGTTACCAGCAGTGAATTACAGAATACTGTGGATTATACAACACCGAAGGCTTCGTAATCTAACTATGTTGCGTTTCTAAATTCACGGATGCTGTATTCACTATACTTAGCAAGCTGTAAGTAAAGCTATACTTATTGCTGTACTTACTATTATGTAGTACATATGCGACCGAGCGTACAGCGTACAATAGTTACGGCTTTTGAACAGGTCACAACTGACGAAGATAGTGGTAAGATTTATTGTTGACGAAGTTTCATAGAGCGATCCAGTTGAAAGCGAAGAGGAAAGAGCAATTTTTCGCTGACAAAACGAGCGATTGTCGTCGTTCATAAACGAACTCTCATTAAGATAATTGTGACTAAGGACGCATATAAAGCGTCCACTAGTAGAACAGGGGACGAGCAATAAGTTGAGCGCTAGTATTTTACTGACTGTGTAAGTAGTATCAGGGATTAATAGTTGAGCAGCAGCCGAAAGTAAGTCTACTTTGTTTTCTTTCATTAAGTATTTTATGCTTTTTAATACATTAAAAATAATACTCCATCATAAACAAAAAGTAATTATACACCTTGAAATAGAATCTTTCTTCCCTGCGCTTGACTACCTATTTTTCTATCACCCCGTCTAATACATTCTTGATCCTTGATCATGGAACTTCGTAACTATTGACTCTCGAGTCTCATTGCATAATATCTATCAAACTGAAGCAAAGTCAATATGTACTCTCGGTTGATATCAGTGACGAGTGAGGGGTACGATAGGATTCTTAAATATAGTCACGTGCCTTGACCGAGTTTAACACAGCCCCACGTTAATGTGGGATGATATTATTCAATAGATAGATCGCGAAGAGGTCATTTTTCGCTCGACCGATAAGACAGACGGTACATTTTCGCTAACGAAACGGGTCTCTATTTCCGATCTTTTTTTATCGCTTGCACATGGCGAACGCCATGATACGAACATGGTCACGTGGATCACGGGGGCTGCATGTAGTCTAGAAACCGAGATGCTGGGGTCATGCGATATCCTGTTGCGACGCGTCTGCACAAAAGCTTAAGTTACATCACGTTGCACATTTGGACCGGTTGCTACGAAAACGAGATCACCAGCTATGTATTTTACGGAAACACGATCGGTTAGTGAAAGGAGGCTCCTCTCTCGTTGTTAGTTAGAAAATTTAAAAAAAAGAAGCAGTAAAGACTAACAGAAGGAACTTGCAAATTTAAAGCAATATAAGGAATGAAACTACAAAGATACGAATATATGTTCTTCTAGGTACTCTGAAGGTCTTGCACTCTCTTTATCAAACAGCTGCTGCGAACAAACTAAAATCTTATACCTGTTACCACCGCCATATTTTCCCCTTAATTTACAAAGTTATAGCCAAACCCTTTGTTTCGTCCCTTTCCCAAAGCCTTGAATTGAAGAATGACTCCAGGTGGCTGGACACCGGATAGATCCTTTGCAAGGTGGAGTTTGAGGAGAGCCTGAAAAAAAAGGTCGAAAGTTAGTGAAAATGAAGAAATGTGATAATTTTCAAACTTTCAAACTTTAACTACTTCCATAATAATCATTCACTGACAAAACTTTATGACTTAAGTTTAGATGAATTCATTAATTACAGGAATAGAGTTTATTATATTATTGAGGAATTCTGTAAAAAGTGGCTGGAGGAGGAAATAACATGTGAAATTGAAAAGTCAAGGACGCAAGAGAAAGTTGTTCCCGAGAACAGGACTTAGCCTTGTATCCATCATAAAATGAATGTATTGAGTAACGATGTCCTTAATGATTCTCCGTAATTTTAACCTTTCTTGGACCGAATTATATTCAATGTTTCGTTCAAAATATGTTAGCATGTTTTAAAATTATCTCTTAATTATTACATTAGTCATTGATAACTTTATGACAAAATAATAATCGTATGACCAAAGTCACAAAAGCTGTTTGGTGGAATTAATGTATACACAAATATACAGGGTGTCCGATGTAACTGGGCCCAGTTGCATGAGACATCTTGTATAATGATTATTCAGGACAACGCAAACATTGAGCCTCATCTCCAGGGGATTTCTCCATAATGTTATAAACACGTGTGTGACATGTGTCGCAGTCATTTTCACACCGTAAATGTTTATTGCTGCATATGGTATTACCGAGTAAATGGGGTCTGTTTAGACCACCCAAATCGTTTCAATGATTCTATTTTCCTATTCATTTCATTTTACATATATATTTTACAAAAATATTTTACTGGAATATCTGACAACTTTTATTACCGGATGCTTCAATTAATGCATTCAAAAAGTATACAATATCATTTTAAAAAATTTAGGCGATCCATATATTTAATTAAAAAACATTTTTAAATCTTAAACAATAACGTATAACTATAATCATGCATAATATCATTTAAAACAGAAAGTTTTAAAATGCCCATTGTTTCTGCAATAACTCAATATACTGCCGTCCAACAGGATCCTGAACAAATGATGGTAGGTCGAGGGATGCTGGTATTTCCGTTCCATGGGGTAACACGCAGTCCTTTCAGGGTCTCGTGCATCTGGTCACGTACACAGGCACAGCAAGCTCCACATGGTGAAACGACAAAACGAACGCCTGGAACGTGAAAGAAGGAACACGAAATTGCTGATATTGATTGCATAATGCGTAACTCGCCCTACCAGTTACGCACACGAATTCATGCTTTCGTCACTGGGTCTAAATAAACAGAGAACATCAGGTAAAAAGGATAAAAAATTTCTTCAAAGTATAAATTATAGTTTTAAAATATAAGTAATAAAATTGAAAAAAAAAATTAAGTTATTATTTATAATACACCTAATAATATGCTAATAAAGATGAATAAGCATGCTAAAGTTTAATGAAACACACTGTATACAAAAATGTGATGTATTAGCAACGTTTTCAGTCTGAGATTGATCTTTGCCTCTCCTTGTATGCTTAATAAAACATTAGTTTGCATACATACATAAGTAGTAACAACAAGTACAAAGATAACATAAATTAACGTCAGTCTGCTTTATATTCTTCGGCTTCTAATTGTAAAATGTTTCAAGAAAAGGTCTAAACGTTCACCAGAAGAACAACGGACTGTAATTTTAGTTGTAATTCGCGAGTGTGTAATAACAATGTTAACAACATTAGCGTAAATATTAAATGTCGTTTGCCAAGTTAATGTGCTTCTTCTCGGTCTATTTACATTTAAAATCAAGGTAAAAAGAACTCATTAAATCAATGTTTTATGAATAATATTTTCATTCAAAGATGACAAGGGAGATCTAGTGTTCGATTCTTATAGTGGCCTCAACGTTCAATTGAATTTAACGATCGAATTAAAGCGATTTACTTTCATTACGATATAGCGCAGGATGAAGAGGTCGTGCAGAAGAGAAAAGAAGGAGAAACGAGTAACTGGAATAACGGTAGTAGATAACGGCGGACCTAAGGCGCTTTAAATCATCGGCATGAAAGTTCTTACTTCCAACATTCTTTGAAAAGCATAACTAAAATTGTATTCAAAAATTCATTTATCTTTGTAGAAAATGTAGGTACCGTGCCTCTTTATCGTGCTAAAATCTAGCGCCCTTAAGTTCAACTCGCAGAGATAGTCTCTAGTTTGCTATAATAAGTGTATCCTCTTCCTACCCTGGTACAAAAAGGTTGTTACACGTGTTCTTTGATAAGAAAAGAAGGTCTCTCAAGATTTCGCAATATTTTAGAAGCGATTACGAGATTTGGTGCAAACAAATCAGTTAAAAATATAAACCCATAAAGAAAAAGAGATGGTAGGCATAGTTAAACGCAGGAGCACATACTATGGAAGCAGGGTACGAAGCATGCACAAAGGAGGGGGAGTTGAAACAGCCGTCGGTCCCCCACCGTTACGACCCCCACCTCCTGGGCCCTCTCCTACTCGTTTCGACTATGGCAGTCCCCCTAGCAAGATCGAAAGAGGTTCCCTCTCGCCCCTCGTTTGAACAACAAGCCACTGACTACTCTCGTCAGTCGACGTTGAAGACTGCTACGTACATACGTGTATATGCCGACACAATTCGATGTTGGTTCGCACCCGTTCGTACGATCTGTCTGCACGATATCGAGAGAAAAAGTGCCGCGCAGAGGAGAAGACAGAGAAGGAGAAGCAGGAGTAGGAGGTAGAGGAGGAGGTGAAGGTGGAGGAGAAAGGGGGAGCCCTGAGCGGCAAGAGAGTTCGGTCCGGCTGTTGCACAATTTTGTGTCAGCCTGTGTTTCTCGGTGAAATCCTCAGACCGACTCAGAGGAAATAACAGGATTGACAGTGAGTGTCGTATATCCGACACGAAGTTGATTGGACGCGCAGGCGTGCGTCGCGGGCTTCTTTGAAGATCGAGAAACGACGAGGCTCCCTCGTTCCATGTTGCGCATTTGTTTATCGAGATTCAACTGAACGTAGTTACGCGTAGAATCGATCGATCGGTGAAAGATGCGAAAAGGATACGTGTGTTTCGTCGACGCATCGTATAAGCAGAGTTGAAAACTCCTGACTGAGGACAGTCGTGTACAAAAGGCGAGCGCGTTCGCGGTCTTGTTCAACGTTGGTTCGGTGACCGATCGTGCGCGCTCCCATCACCCCGTAAAAAGAATAAGAAACAGCGAGTGGAGGAGGAGTAGGGCGGAAGCTTAAGGAAAGAAGGACGCCGAAGGAGAAGGAGAAACAGGAGAAAAGGAAAAGAGGGAGGCACGCCGCGTGGACATAGCCGTACGATCGTCGTGTGTCTGTTTCGTTTGGTTTCGTTTCGTTTTACCGCTTTTCGAGCGGACCCGCGGTAGATGAGGGCCCGCGAAATTTCTAGTTGATAACGATTTTACCCGATTCTCCTTCTCGTGACACATTCCGCCACGTGGACGTTGTCGCGTAAAGAAGATTACTCGATTGTAAACAAGCTAAGAAAACAATCATGTACAAGCTACTAGGGGGTCTTGGCACGTTCTTGAAATGGCAGGAGATCACGACGGATTCTATGGTGTTCCGGTTGCACAACCACTTTACGGCGGTGCTACTTTTCACGTGTTCGATGGTGATCACGGCCACCCAATACGTTGGTAATCCGATCAACTGTATCGTTCAAGGTTTACCACCGCACCCTGTCAACACTTATTGCTGGATAACGTCTACGTTCACTATGCCGGATGCATTCAATCGGCAGGTGGGTAATCTCGTTTAGCGACTGTGCCCCTAATTTTCCGACTTGGATCTACGCTTGATTATGCTTGTCCTTTGAACCACCTGTTCCCAGCTTTGGGAAGTTCAACGATCAAATAGACCATGACACATGCTGTACATTGATAACTGTAGAAAAATGTTGTATCGACTAATCAACGTTAACAATTTTCTTTTTTTATTTCTAAATTATTTCCGATTTCCGTTCTAGAAGACAATTTATCAAAATGGAATTTCTGTTTGTTTAAAACTACTTTTTGCCACTAGCGATAGTGTTACTCAACCGCGAAGAGTATTTTATACCGATAGTATGAGATCTAATTGCCAGCGAGTAAAAAGAACATAAAACAACGAAATCGCTTCAGGTTACCCTCGAGGTTATCTATAGTTTTCTTCCAATTCCTCTCACTCTTGCCTTGTACATTAACACATGCTTTACGAAATAAACTCGCTGTATGATTATTCACAATTCTTAAGAAATAACTTTTGCAAAACATTTGTTAAATTAAAAAAAAAAGAAAAGAAAAATCATACACACATTCTTAGTAACAAATTTCCCGCCAATCGAATGAGTTATGAAATTTTGGTACACTATGTTTAGGCGGCAAATTTGAATCAGAAATATGACTGTAGATCTCTATTTAACCTCTTACTATTATTAATGTATGAGTAGCACTCTTTATAATTTTTACTGTTTTTTTGAGATCGGTTCTCTTAGATAAAACAAGGTACAATGCTTTCGTGAACTGAATGAACGGATCGCTTATAAATACGTACGGGAAGTAGACGATAAATGAACAATATAACGATGCAAATATATAAATTTAATCAAGTACACCTGCACTCTTTCGTCATTATCCTATTGTTGACGAGTCTGTTTCTTGTTAGGTCGGTATAGAGGTGGCGCATCCAGGAGTGGCCAACGACTTCGGCGACGTGGACGCAAGGAAATATTATACGTACTACCAATGGGTCTGCTTCGTATTATTCTTCCAGGTAAAGGCTCGTTTATCGGTAATCTTGTACGGGTGACAGATAAGACTTAGACAGCTGCACTTTTGGTTTAGGTTTTTGTTACATCCGACTGGCTATTCTCGTCTTTCCGTATTGGATATCCGAAACTGTGGTTCGCGCGAATGCACGAGCCCTTCGCGTTGCTGATTACATATCTGACTTCTTATTTCTTCGAGAAAATGCTTTTATCTTCATTTTAATTTAATTACCGCATAAAACTGTTCTTGATTAAATGCTCTCATTAATAATGACGTCCAATATTTTATCTTACAAATATGGAGGCACCTCCATTTTGTATATTTATGCAGCATTAAATGTCTATGGTTATTACACATAATATTTTAATAATAGTCTTTGTCATATCCTCCATGACTAAATTAAACGAATATGTATATTACATTCAACAGGCATGCTTGTGCTATGTACCACAATGGTTGTGGAACATGTGGGAGGGCGGTTTGATCAGTAAATTGGTCATGGGTATGAATCACGGCCTCGATAAACAAGAGAACATTCGGAAGAAAAAGTCCGTGTTAATGGATTATCTAATGAATCATATTAGGGTAAGTGATCCTAATTAAATTCCTGTTTAGGTGACATTAAGTTTACTTTTGCGAACTTTGTCTCAACTGGTTCATCATATTCAGCCGCTTTTTTAAAAAGTGTATTTACATTGTAAATAATAATGGGATGAAATTAAAATTATTTTAATCTCTAATCGAACCTAAAGCCAAATTAATACAGCTATGTAATTTCAATATAGCGGACTACTAACTTCACTTAATTGAAAATTATCCAAAATTTATTTAGTCTATCTCAAAAATATTTATAAAACGCAAGAATTTATTAAAGAATTTTTAAGTTCTAAAAGAATAAGTACTTCAGCAAGGGTTGAGAACGTTCACAGAGATGCCTCAATTGGTCAAAGTGTCACATACTGAAATCTTAGCCAAGGGAAAGGAGGAAAGAATAAGAAAGAACGGTTGAGACGATTCGGTTAGATCCAATTTAACCTCGTTGAGTCCAATTCATGCCAATTCACCGATCGCTTGTTCTTTCAGAGTCACAACATGTACGTGTACCGATACTTCATTTGCGAGGCGCTTTGCCTAGTGAATATCTTCGTTCAATTATACCTGATGAATCGATTTTTCGACGGGGAATTCCTCAGCTACGGATTGCGAGTACTGCAGTTTTCGGAGGTGCCACAGGAAGAGCGTGTGGATCCCATGGTCTACGTGTTCCCTCGCGTCACCAAGTGTCTTTTCTATAAGTATGGTGCTTCGGGAACGATACAGCAACACGATTCCCTCTGCATTCTTCCATTAAACATCGTCAATGAGAAGACGTATATCTTCATCTGGTTCTGGTTCACCATTCTATCCATCTTGTTATTGGGTCTGATGGTATACAGAGCAGCCATCATTTTTGCCCCGGCCGTGAGACCGAGACTGTTACATCTCTCCTCTCGGCTATTGTGTATAGAAACTTGTCACAGTATCAGCAAAAAGATTGATCTGGGTGATTGGTGGCTTCTCTACATTCTGTCTTCCAACATGGACTCACTAATCTACAGGGATTTCCTCCAGGAACTGACCAAGAAGATGGGCGATAGGCAATCAGCTATGGCTTAGATTGATAACTTTATAACAAGAATTTTCGTTAGAAAGGCTGAACTGATTCGCTGAGGTTCATCGTTTGAAGGCAGGTTCATTGCCTTTAGTTGACCTCCTTCGGGGAATTATAGGGGGGAGAACACTGACCACCGTTGTCTGCGTGGAAATCATCGCGTTACAAGAATTACTATCATAGGTAGCGCCTTCAGAGAACAATTGTTATGCACGACTGACGTATGTGTGTTCGTAAACACGCGATGACATTCGGTTTTGTATGTACACAAGAGTGTGACTGTGTGTGAGTACGAGAGAAAGTATCGTTGTTTCAACGGTTATTCCAAGAACTGTTTCTTTATTATTATTTTTTTTTTTTATTATTCTTAATTAGTGTTCGTTCTCCAAAGCAACAGATCTATTTTATTGCGAGAAGTATTGCTCAAAGTAAATCGAACGTATTTCTATGACAGAGGAAGTTTCGAGGCGATGAGGATCTTAGCATACGAATACCTTTTACTATGCAACATTTTTCTACTGTGAGGTCATCTCGACTTTTATGCTATCCTATCGTGATTATAATGTGCACTGTCGCAAGAAATCTTGCTCTCAGATATTTCTGTGTAGCATATACGTGATCCAATTCATTGAATGATTATTCTTTCTAAGTTGTCAACGTATGTGTTAGTTTTCAAAATACCGTGACTAAGTAATTAGTTGCAAAGGATGCATATCAATTTTTATTGTAATTTAGAGATATGATTTGTATTGTCAGGTTGATCAGAAAGTTCTGTTGATTTTTGCAAATTAGTTTCCTAGTGATAATGAATGTGGAATACAGTTATCTTTCTGTTTGCAGTTATTAAAAAAAATACACAAACTACGTTTTTTAGAACCAGCAACAAAATTTTCCGATCAGTCTAATATTTGCCCATTTGTGTTCCATCGACAAAAAAACATTGTCGCAGAAGACTTGTATTAAAGTAACACGGATCTTTTTTTTTTTAACGTCTATGTCCTCTGTTTCTTAATTAATTTCTGCTGTATGTATCAATATAAGAATTTACGAGTGTTAAACCGATTGTGTATCGTATATGATGTGTGTTTCCTATTGGAAAGTAAGAGAAGAAAAGAAGTTCGACCGAATTTTAACGGTACTACAATTTCGAATGTTTATTAGGTAGAACGAGTAAGGTTTTATATTGATATTATGAATATTATACGAATATTATAAATATTCGTGCAATTTATGCATCTATTGGTTTTTTCTTTCTATCTGATATTCGATTATGGTAAAAGTTTAAATTCTACCGCAATCGTCAGTTGGTGACAAATCAAGAATGATTTTTTTTTTAGTTATTCATGCCTCGATATTGGTCTTGTGTTATAAACTACAATATATCCCATAATCATAGGAAACTTGAGACTTAGGCTAACATCTGTAATTCAATGCTTTCAAAGTTTACAGATACTTTTCCTATTAGCAGCTGACTGCAACATAAAAGACATTGAAAATATACTGTAATTCTAAGACGTTATGCTTTTTCTTTAATATTATTGTAAAAGTATTAAAAAAGAATAAAAGTTTCCTACTGTTTAAAAAGAAAATTGAATTTTTTAATTTAAATTTTAAGGGATTGTGAGTCTTATATATTTCAGATGGAAGTGCTGATAGAGGGGTAAAGAGATCGGGCTGACGATAAAACTAAATGTTTTGATGTCGGCGTTTTCTAAAATTTACACGGTATGGTAATGCGGTTTGAAACTAAAACGTTGGCGCGTTAAAATCGGCGATGGAAAAGATAAGAGAGACAAGTAACAATCAAAGAGTTTGTGTTACGCGAGGCACGTTTTCAGTTTTCCGATAAGATTTCTGTCCTTCCGGTATTAAAATCTTGAATGAAATCAACTTGTTGCGTAAACACAAATGATGTAACAGAAATTGGCGTATCTTGCGGTCTGAAATGCCGACATCGCTCAAAACCTCATTTCTGTTTCGCTGCGCACTCTACAATTCACAACGACGATCTTAGGAACTACATCGGGTCTAAGGATCGATGACTAGTCGATAACTAACAGTAACATAAAAGTGAGCTGAAAATGCATTAAAAATAATGCAAAAATTAATGAAAAAGTATAGCAGAAATAAAATTAAAAAGAAAAAACAAAGAAGCAAATCTTAATCTCGCAACCAATTACTTCGTATTATTTGCCGCATAATTAATAAATGTACCATAGAAATAATGATGCAGTTATTAATTACCCGCCAAATAATAACGATTGTCCAGGTCTCCACCACGAGGAGGTTGCTGCAGGTGGAGACCCGCCCTATTCTCATTCCATTCTCTCCCCATTTATACAGATTTTTATTTAAATTCAATAACATCATCCTCTTGATGCACATTTTCAAAACATCTTTGTTGTGCAAATGAACAGCAAACGGAGCATTATTTTTATTCACTATCTACCTATCTACTTATCTATTTATATTCTCAATTCTACCTCAATATTTTTTTATTTTGATTACAGATCTGTAATTAATAAATATGCTATTGCATATTTGTCCTACATACTTGTAAATACTAAGGATATCTGCCTATACGAGCGCTCGTAATAACATCAAAGATTTGCTTAAATCAAAATTCTCTTAATTAATCATTGCAGTGTTTGACGATTATATCTTAATGATTTTATGATTATTCTATAAAACCATAAACTTACAACCTATACGAAAATTTAAAAAGATATACATAAATAAATTGTTGATTTGATCGTTCTTACCAGAATGCTTCCGTGATCGATATTCATTCGCAACACTAAATTAAAAACGCGATTTGCCCAAAATCATGGGGGTCACGGGCCCCCTCTTTTCCTGCAATTACAAAACTACAACTACAGACAAGTACAGTGACAAAGTAGTAACGATAATGATTTCCCATCCTTTTTTGCAAAAGGATGCAAAATCATTAGTAGTTCCCCTCTTGAAAGACAGTTTGTCGGGGCGCTTCGGCATATAGCCTTTTCGTTCTTCGGGCGGTCCACCCACCTGAAACTTATATCTAAAGCTCGAGACTTGCAAATTCGCAAAACAAAAAAAAACAATCAACAAAAAAGAAAACTCGCGAAACTAATTGACACGTGGACGAAAAAAGACTTTATATAAGTCGTTGTTCGTGCACACGTGCCGTGCTCGAGCAGAACTTGTGCGTTTCGTGCCATCGCGATCGCGTATGACGACTTATGAAGTCGCCAAAAATTTGAAAAATTGTACAGATAGAATCGAAGGCGAACGGCGTACTCCGTTCGTATCGATGGTATCGTCAATTCTTCAAATATATTCCAGGTACAGGTTGATCACGCGAAATCGCGCCTACCCGACCAAGAGACTGTGACAACCTGTCCCGGCCCTACCTACTTACAATCCATCACACACACCAGAAGGTATACTACCTACCTACCTAACGCTATATTTAAAAAAGGCAAAATCACATTCTCACAAAAATTCATTCCACGACCCCTATACACTCCACCCGGGCGCAAGAGCCTAAACTAGGGAGAACGTCCCGGGACGCCTCCGTCACCCGAGTTTCATCTCACATCACACTCTACGGCACGTACCATTTTTCACTGAAATCGTCTGGCAAGGCTAGCAATCATTGCGTATAATGATAATTACAAAATTTAATTAACTACTTTGATATAGAATATTTCATAATCATGGTAATAATCATGGTAATAATAATGGCAATATAGTAATAGTAATGGTAATAATACTATTTGGTTTGTACGTTCATTGTATATTTTGTTGAATAAAATATTATTTCGAATTAAAAGTTAAATGAAAAAGTTATTAAACCGATGCAATCCCACAGCTTAAAAACACACACACACCATATGTGGAAATTACGTCGTGCACGATATACTAACACAATGCCAGCCGCTTATTAATTATTATTCTTATGAACTAGGTCATCGTGCCCATTGCCTCTACCCATCCAAGTAGCACCTGGGCACGTGAATGGGCTTTGGCAATAAACACGGAAGGGGTTAAACCTGAAAATCCTGATCTACAACAAAATGATTAGTACATAAACATCTAACGGGCTAATATTTCACTATTTTAATAAAAGTGACTCGACTTTGTAAATATAAAACTTTAAGAACAAATACTGAAAAGCAAAATTGAGCAACTATGACGGAAAAATGCTGCATTACTAACATGAAAAATGAAAAAGAATTTAATGTAAAAATTGAACTTGATACTTTATTGAAAGCAAACTGACTCTAATTAAGAATTCTTTGCAATGAAAAAATACTTTACTGTGAAAATTAATAAAAAAATTAAAACATCCTCAGGCGACTCCCTCCTCAGAGTAAATTTTCAAAACTATGCAAAAGGTATTCAAATAGATCACTCTGACTTGGAAATCTACCCGTCGCGAATTGTCTTCTTGCACATAAATTGTTCAATTTTTCATGAACGTGTAAATAAGTTAAACTTCGCTATAGAATGAACGAAATTTTACTACTTGTAAAAAATTCCCAAATTATATTTGAATTTACAATGTACAAAATGTAATTAAATTTAAACGTAAAAGTACCATTAATACGTATGTCCAGTATACATATTATATTACCAATATTATATCGATTTGAATCTTTACAATAACTAAATCAGATGGTATCTGACTTCTCCGTTAAAGAAAAAATAAATAAAATTGTTTCTGTATTACAATATTTCATATTCCACGTTTTATTATAAAATCGTATGATGAACATTTAAAAGCATTTATATATTCCATCAATATCTATTGAAGTATGTGGAATAGAAATAATATTTAAACGCGAAGTACAAGAAGACCTAGCCTGAACTAAATGAAATGAAACACAATAAAAATGTTACTATTCATGAGTATAATCATACCCATGGTCACTATGCTCGCCAACCACGTATACAACCAGTAACCCGTGTCGATTCGGACCATTCGTCCTACGACATGATTGGGCACCTGAGGAACCATAAAACATGCGACTCACCGTTCGCAGATGCACTCTTCTTCCGACAGTCAAGTAGGAGGATGCACAACAACCAGGTATGAGGTTGCCATATAGGAGAAGACGGAAGTCGTGAAGAAAGCCATCAACAATGTCCAGGAATTCAAAAATTCAAAAATTCAAAAATTCATCTGTAATAAAAAAAGAAGAATTACGGTTAATTTTAAAAATTATCAATTCTATTTTTATTTAAACTTGCACCGAAAACTGTATATTATAATATGTATAATTGCCATGATTGAACAAAATCAGATTGTTTGAAATAATGAAAATATAATTAAATAATTGCAGAAGAGAAGCAATCATCTGCAGTAGAATACAAATCGTGTCAGTTTTGTTCTAATTTAAAACACCCATGTTAAACTACTAGTCAAAATTATTTAATAAAATAAAAAATTAGTTATTCCTTTCCTATTATTTGATCAAAGAAAAAAAAATTTCTCTAATCTTTTCTTCCTTGATTCTGGTATCAATTAATTATAAAGAAATGCTTACAATTAACAATGACTCAATAAAAATAGTAATAATAAATATTAGTAAATTGATTACAATAAATAAAAACGTTATCAATTCATCCGATATCAACTGTCATGGCGTCGTCTCGTGTGGCGTCTTTTCAATATCACCGAAATATCTGTAACAAATAAGAAATATAAATTTATATAAATAAAATTTAGCCACAGCAATACAATTATGATTAACAAACGATCGAGCTCTATAATTTATGTAAAATATGTCAAAAGATAAATTACGCGTACCTATTTTACTTATACGGAAGCGTACCTTCAATACATCTTATCACCGCGACGTTCGCGAAAGGAATGGCGCGATCTTCCTATGGCGACAGTTCAGGATTGCTCGGCACGATACCGAAGCAGGTTAGCGAACCAGTCACGTGATATTACGATTCTCAAGGAAAAACGTTATCGGATTCTTTCGTTCAAATTCAATAATGTTTAAGAAATTAACGATATAAAAGGGAAATAATTAAGATAATGCTATTTCAATCTCAATCTGAATTCACGACAAGAGTACAAAATTTCACCTCACGTATTTCTGACGGCAATGTGGAATCTATGTCAGAAATGATGAATCTAGACTTCTCTTCAACTTTTCCTTCTATTTTTCGTACTTGTTATATTAGAAATGCAATTTAATTTAATATTTTAACACGATTTAATATCACTTGTCACGAACGCGTGCACTCAGAACAAAGTTTCAGGGGAAAGTGACGTAATGAATTAGACCTGCGTACATAGGCAATGAAGACGATTCTGATTGGTCAAAATTATATGCAAGGAACTGCCATTGGTGGAAATGTAAAACTGCATAGTTCAAAACTTTAATACTAAAATAACTGTTAAAATATTAAATACAAAATAAGTTATTTATAATTAACAAGTAAATAAAGAGAAATATATGTAGTACATAAATAATTCCTATTGTAAAGAAACGGGTATTAGCGAAAACATAATTGGTAAAAGAGACATTTGACGATGCGCCATCTCTGCGCTAATGAGGTAACCTAGAGGTTTACTCAAGATTGATCAGTTGTTCCAGTACAACGAAGATCAGGTAGTTTGTCAAAAAATGGATAGAAACGTTGACGAATAGATGCACGAACACCCGGATTAAAAACACGTACAGGTACACAATTGACATTTGTACAATTCAAATTATACAAATGATACTTGGATAATTTCTACACAGTACTGTCTAATTCTTACTGTAATCATAAATCCTGACCCTTGCTTTCGCGATTTCGTAACGGCGCGGCGGTTTAAGCTTTGCAAGCTTAATGATGATCCGATGCTCCAGATGTATGCGTATTTTTGTATTGCGCAAACCACACTAAAATATGTGATCTTGGAAATTTGCTCGTATAATGTGAAATTAACGTTCTCTTACAGAAAATGAAAAACATGATTGCTTTTAAATCATGATTTCTTTTTCTTTGCTCTGAATATCAACAGGATGATTCAATATTCTGTTTTATCACACTAATATATTTCTTTTAATAAATATGTAGTCTTATGTGAATTCAAAATTGTTATTTTTAATTTTAATATTATAGTTTCTTACTTTGATTTATACGCGTGTTCTATACAAGAGTTTGAAGTAGACTCTTGATGCACATGTGCCGAACGGATAAAAATAGATTAAATTGTCCACGATTGAGATTGATTTGATTAATAACAAGACTTGATGCCAAAACCCGACATTCTCGATATCTGCATAAGATTTCTATTATCCGAAATGGGATCACGTTTAGTTTCAAAAGATTATTAGGTTAGGTTGAGACATATATAGTATCGTTTTACAAATGTTAATCAAAATCAAAATATCCTATTAAATGAATACTCACCTAATGCAGAGAAAGTCAGTAAGTTCAACAGAAAGTTCAATCTCTATATAGATTTGGTTGAATCCGATCGGTGTAATGTACATGGATCAACACGTTTTCCTAATGAAACACGTGTTGCCGGTGAAAGCACACAAATAGAACTCGCTAGCGCGGATATGATTGATTTGTGTTTAAGGAGTCGGAAAACGGGAAGTGAGCTGATTGACGTGTAGGTGTTTCGAACCGTTTGGACCCGAGCACAAGACTAAATTGATTATTTTCTTTTTCACGATACGCATTGCTTTTGAATTGTGTTCGGATGCCGGGATCGAAATGACAAAAGCCGCAAACTTTTCCTTTCTATTGCATCGCTCTGATGTATATTTCTTTTCACTGCAGCCATTCTAGCCCTTATCATTTTGATGATTTATTATTTTATAAATTTTCTGTATTAGATTACTAAGGCAACTGTGGCTGTGGGGTACCACATATCCTATTCCCATAATTGGTACGTTTACTATTATTCTACAATACTATTCCAACCTATATCATTTTATATAGTATTTCAAAGAAACGCAATGATACATTGAAACCGAAACTTAAAATAAGTAAAAAAAATGTAGAAGAGGGTGCTTCAAGTAGTAGCCACTGCAGCAGCCAGGATATTTTAATATTTCTATGGGTAGCCGGTATTTTCTGAGAAAACAATCATTGCGCTTCTCCAAATACTATTTTATGTCACCGTAATCCTATGAAGTTTTGACGTTTCTTGAAACGATAGATGAATCAACCTAGCGAAGAAAAAGGAAGAAAAAAGGAGAACCTGAGGGGACTTGGACGGTAGCTGATTTGACGTGGAATGTTCTTAAGATTAATTTAGACAGAGACCACGTGGCCGATTGATCTAAGAGGAAAATTTCTAGTGGCAGCAGCGATCCACGTGCTAACTGCTTACATTTCGGCCACGAAGGGAACACTTGCAGCATGCTTCCTTAAATATAGGCTATTTAACCTTGCCTGCACATCGAACATATTATAACCGTACCATTTAGTAGGACAAAATTATAAGATAATCTCATTCACTCTACTAACGTATAGCAGAACCTCATCTGAAACTAATAAGGAGATGTAAGTGCCCTGATAGAACAAATTAATTTTTTTGATACTAAACTTCATTCATTTAAATAGACATAATTCTTGAATTAGGCCGAACATATTAGAAGTACTCTGTATGTGTATAAAATAAAGTAATGGATAGGTGGATGAGGACTAGCGAGAAAGATGTTGCGGATGTCCCTCTGGTGGCAAGTACTGGTAGTATCACCACACAGAAAATAAGTTCAACGAATGTGTATCCTGTTCTCGACAAATTGATAAATAATCAATCTCATCAAGCTACATGCTTCATACTTTTACACTTGACAAATTTATCAACATCATCACACTGCTTTATCTGGATGAATTGGAATTGTAAGTACTATTTAAAATATTCACTGAAATGAGTCAAGGATGGATGTTATAAACATGGATTCATCTTTGACTCATCTGATTGTTAGTATAATGTAAAAAAGTTCCTATTTTTTAAAATAATTCCAATGAAAAAATACGATTATATCTGCATTGAGAAATAAAGTTAAAGATATAGTTGATCAAGTTTTCGCGGGCTGGTCCAGCGAACCAGCACACGCGACGTGCTGCGTTTTAATGCTTGCGCTTCTACGCTCGAACATTTCGGGTTTGGTGTTTCTATTCCTGGAGCGGGTTGACTCCTCGCTCGGCTCCTACGGGAGGTGCTATGCCCTGGCTAGCAAACACGACCAGTCGTGGCGAGTCGAGGCGAGTCTAAGCGTATGGAAGCGGATTAGTGGACGTGCGCGTACGATCAGACAAACCGCATGCTGATACTCGTCTAATTTGCTCGCGATCAAACATCCACGTTTTCCGCTCTCGAACTTCGGATCCGTTCGTGTTTCACGCTTCTCTTCAGTGCAAACATTTTACAACCGAGTTCTCGTTTCTTTTTTTTTCTCCTGATTCGGAGAGTGTATTGGAGCGTCGACGAAAGCGGTGGCTGGTTTCGCGTACACCAGATTTAGTCTGGAGAAGAGCCGCATTGTCTTCGGCAATTTTGTTCGTAAAATTTTCAATTACTCCAACTATTTCTGGGCCTGAGCTCACTATGATATATTTGTTACGACAGCGACAAAAGCGTGAGCTGATCGCAGCGTTTTTGACGTTCGTTTCGTGACTGAAATTTTTGGAAGAAATTCGATGAAGTTTAAGTCGTTTGAATACGAAGCTGATGTTCTGTCAAAGAAATACGGGAGGTGAATCCCAAAACGGAAGTGTGGATGATGTTTGAAATTAGACGTGAAATGATTCCATGGTTATAGAAATTATCTCCTTGTTTGGTGTTTCTGGGAAGATACTTGGATTTCCATAGGAATTTAGTAATTAAAAGCACATAAATTAAATCATTGTAACATCTCAAAGTTGGATTCCAAAGTGTTCTCATTGTCAGAGCCCAATTTTGGGTATGAAGGAAATTAATGTTTAAAATAGAATCATAAATGAGATTTAATCGGGTAATAAAAATCAAATTCCAGGAAATGTCTATGGTTATATGTATGTTATTTCGACTAATTTTAATTTAAGGAGATTTTTATCGAATGAAAAATATTTACGCAATTTGTTACACTGTTTTCACACGTTTCAGCGGGATAAGTTTCTTAACGTGAGTTCATTGATCGACGAGAAAAACACTTGGAACACGTTTATCTTGCAAATTATGTTAACTTAAAGCACATCTCAAAGGAGTACGAGCTCCGTTTAGTTTGACTAATTTCTCCTTTCCTGAAAATCAAATTGACTCGTTTATTTTCCTCAAAATTGTCTTTTCTTGGAACCTGACGCTTGTGTATGGGAATTCAACGAATTTTCATGGGATCAGTGACCCTTTTATCTCCATGAAACTATTACTTATAGATTTATTTTTGAATCCCTAATTATTTTTGTTAAAACTAAATGTACTTCAATCTTAGCGTGGATTGAGAATAGCAAATTTACCCATATACTCTTCTTCTTTAATTCTAAAAATTTCTTCGAAAAGGAAAGTGTCGGCTATCTCCTCGAATTTGACCGCTTATTCGTTCCATTATTTTTAGACAATCGCGTCTTGTGTTACAAATAGTATCACGAGGCGTTATTATCGTCCATCGTATGACAACCGTTGCTGCACTCGCTAAACCGAATCTCCGAAATATTACTCGAGTTCGTAACTCGTCTTCGTCTGAAGAAAAAAAAAAAAAGAAAATTTCTCGTGGGTGTGTACAGTGCTTTATGTGACAGCTGTTGTCTCCCGACTGAGGAATGCGTTTTCATAGGTGACAAATCTTTCGAATCGCTTCCTGCCGACACATTTATCCCTTTATCTTCCATTTGCCACCTATTCACTGCTCATCGAAAGCAATTTGTGAAAATATTCGACGACATTCTTTTATAGCTTATATTAAAAAGAAAGTGGAAAGAAATTCTGAGGAAAAATGTTAGAGAATTAGACGAAAAATAATAAAATAAATAACAGTAATTGAGAAATTTCCTACGTAATGATATAATTTCAAATACTAATTACCATAGAATCTCTTCATTGATAATTGGCGGAGAATTTCATTTCTATAATTAATGGCCAAACGAGCGAGAGGGTTTAAAAATAATTCTCTTAATCTATACATAGATTCGCATGTTAATCGTCACGATATCTTTGTACAGCTAGAATCTAACCAGTTAGTGTCAGTATATTTTAAATTAGGCTGCAAATTTTTTATCGAATATTTCTTTCGCTGTCAGTTAATTGAGCAGCTGATATTAAACATACTTTCTTGATCATATTTCATTCTACACAGAAGAAATGTTTCAAAAATTTTATTTTGTATAGTTTTAGAGTCTACGTTACTCTGAAATAACAACTGATTTTTAATTCTAATAAAGAATTATTCATTTTAGAAAAGATCCAAAAGCAGTGAAAACGTATTTCCGTCCGTTGTCATTGTGTGTATTTCCATGCTACCGTCGCGTTGGTTGTCCGGTTCGCGATAAATGGTTTTTGGTACGCTTAGACGCTAAAATAGAATGGCACACGAATTAGACAAAGTTACAATAACGTGAACAAGCCCGCCCCGTTTACCTATTTTCCCCGGTGTTCACACGAGACAGCTTCATCTTCGGGCACCGGTCGTAAAGATTGTCAGACGAGGATAGTTTGTTTTTTTAGTAGAATGGTGGACCATCGGATCCGAAAAGAGCCAGTGAAACGTGGATCGTTTTGCAAATTTATACCCTTCGTTAACGCTACCGATCAAACTAATGTCACCGTTGGCATCAGGTTTTTGAGATGATGGATTAACAGTCCCTAGTGATAGTGAATGAGAAAGGTGTATTCATAAGTGATTAGTGAGGATATTTCATTTCATCGAATCGAATCGAACAACGAATTCGCTAAATCTCTCCTAAAACATGAATGATCCCGACGGAAGTGTGCCCGTGTCCTCCACTCGGACGTCCGTTTCTTCGAATACTTAAGTTTCCAAGATGCTCTGAATCGAGAAGAAGGAGAAGAAGAAGAAGAAGAAAAAGAAAAAGAAGAAGAAGAAGAAGAAGAAGAAGAATGCGCAGGAATACCCTGATGACGGCACAGGATCCGACCGCTACGAAGGATCCTTCGCTGTCAATATCTCAAGAAACCCCCAAGAATCATCAATTTTTTGGAAAACCGGACGTTGAAGTTTCCTATTGACTTCAAAAGATTCCTTCACGAGGATATCTTTGAAGTCGTCGCTGCTACCAGGCAAGATTCTTGCTGGTCGACTCAAAGATAGATCAAAGAGGGCGAGCAGGGGGGAAGGATCGCGAAACCGAGCACGAAACATGTGAAAGGCGTGGATCCAAAGGATCGACGGACGATCTTGGAGTCGTCGGTGATCCACTGATACCCTTTTGCCCGCTCTTCTTCTCCAATCCAAGATGCTGGACATATTTCGGGGTCTGAAGAGCTTGATCAAGATCTCCCATGTGCACATCGACACTGCCGTTTTCAGGCTACATTACAGTCTGACTGTGATCCTGTTGATCGCATTTTCGTTGATCGTCACCACTAGACAATACGTTGGTAATCCCATCGACTGCATCCATAGCAAGGATCTACCCGAGGACGTGTTGAACACTTATTGTTGGATTCATAGCACGTACACGATCACAGCTGCCTATAGGAAGAAAGAAGGTTTCGAGGTGCCTTTTCCTGGGGTTGATAATTCCAAGTCGCATCCGGAGAGCGAGAGGAAGGAGTACAGGTATTATCAGTGGGTCTGCTTCATGCTGTTCCTTCAGGTAATTAACAGTTGATACTTGTTATATACTAGATTTTTTTCAAAAATCTGATTTTCAAATAACTTTCATTGAGTTTCGAAAGATATTTGACAATGAGTGTTTACGAGTACACTCTGTTTTTCGAAGAAACCTACAGTATGCTAGGGCGATTAAGTATTTGTTATTTTGATTCAGTATAGTGGGATTGAGCAAGAATTAGAACGATAAATCTGTTGGAGGCTATTAGCGTTAGAAAAGAATTATAGATGTAGATAAAGTTGAGATTTATTAAATTAATTTTAGCATGATTGTTGATTACACGATGCGCGGGGGTAGTGAACATTCGTAAACGAGGAAAGACGGATAACGAGCGAACTGGTTGTGGCTACGCTCGAGGAATTTACTCACTGCTTACAGAAGCTTATATCTAGTTCATTGCCAAGAAGGAAACCCTAAGCATATTAACCCCTTAAACCTGCTACTTCGTCGCCGAGGGTCGCTGTCGTGCGAGTTGCCTTGACGTTCGGTCAAAGACGTTCCTCCACCCTCACCTTTTAACTGATCACTTCAAGTAGAACGCATGTTCTTTCACGGAATTACTCTCTACACGTACTTAAAGAGTTTCCTCGCGATGGTGTAGCTAAAAGTAGTGAACTTACGCTTTGTATTAACCAATTACATCTATAAGGGAGGTAAGAGATAAGAATTTATCTTTCGAAAACATTTCGAAAAGATTTGGATAAGTTTACATTTTGTTAGGTATTGGATATTGAACATTTTATGTAAGGATCCACGTTTGAGTGTTTTATAGCCGTTTTATTAACTTTTTATTTATAATAATAGGGGAGGAACGATAATAGATACTGAAGTCATCATAATGAATTATAGAGCACCGAAGCTAACAATTAGTTCAAGTTTCATATTCGACCTGGTCCATTATCTCGCATAATATTTCCATTAAAATAAGATGGATGATGTCCAACTATCTTCAGCATAATTAAAATTATCACTGCTATTCAGATATGATCGAATGGTGGCTCTTGATCTAACTATAGACCGACAATGACCCGAATGCTACTTCTACTTTTTACTCCCTCATTTCTCTCCATACCCTTTTTTTTACTCGTTTCACGACAAGTTCCTCTGGCCTCTGGCCAATTCTTAATAATCGCGATATATCATTGCACGCAATATCACAGGGTGTTTTTAATTTCTTTTCTAGATACTATATCGTTGACATAAATTAACAATGTCTCGAGGACTCGTGTTAAAGATTTCGCTTATCTCCTTGAACCTGTTTCGTGTAAATGATGTTAAAGGGCTTGTATGTTTATGTTAACTTGTTTTAGCACCAACTGCTTTACATTGTAATATGATATTGGGTATAAGGAAACTGGTTTATAAGTGGTAGGCGATAAAAGAAGAGGAAAGATTATGGTTCATTTATACGCAACAGTGTCGTGTTCAGTTTACAAAAAATAAAAAAATATAAATAACCACCTCGACGTGATGTTCAGGCTATAATTTATATGGGGGAAGAGGGTAAGGAGGGAAGCAGTCCCAGACAGGGAATAGATGTAAAATGGTTACACGTGAATGGACCTCTACAGTCAACTTTAAGAATAATTTCGGGGGTCCATCTATAGCGTCCTGAAAGCAGGGAATTATCGAGCAGTTACTGTACTTAGAAGATCATATAAGTTATGTGTTCAGCATCGAGGCCAAGGGATGCCTTTCAAGTTCGGCCAGTCTTCTAACGGCTTGCTTCCGTGCTCCACGTGTCTCTGTCACCGTGTCCAAATCCTTCGTTTTCTGATAACAGTGACACCTTTTTCTTTTTTTTGTTTTGTTAACGCGTTGACTGCCACAGTGATGATAATTAGTATAGTTAAACACATTGTAATTGCAGTTATTCAATGGTCTCATTTATCATCTTCCTACCATTTGAAATTTTCTTTAACTTTGTCTTCTTCCAGTGATTCGATTATACTGAAATTGTGGGGTCATCCGTGATCCCTGCGGCAGTTAACGTGTTAATAGTGAAAAATGTTATTTGTCTCTGGACCATATACGAATTCGTGAATCCTTGACATTTCGTTGTGTAAATGATTACAAGATTTTCAATTATCGCAATGATGACCGAGGGATCGAAGAGAAGAAACCGTTTAACACATGTGCTCCTCAGGAGGAAGAAATGACGAGTCTGAGTCTTTCAATAATAATTTATTTTACAAAGTGGTAGAACACCAAGATGTGCATAATGATATTATTACTGCCTTTTCGACTGCAAATGGTGTTTCCCAATGGGAATCGCGAAGAACGTGGTGAAGAGAATGATAGGGACTGTAATGTCTTTCACGAAATTAACATAAATTGCTAAAACATTATGCTTTCAAACATAATCTCACATTGGGAGTCTGAAGGTGATTAAACGAAGACGGATATTTTGGAAAAGATTAATTTTGAAAATATTAAGACCTTCGATTATTAAATTTCTATGATTACAAAAAGAAAACCAATCCTCAAACTAAACTTCAATATTCAGAGCCCAAAGTTGCAGTTATTATCCATCGAGTTAAGATCACTTCGAAAGTGAAAATCCTGTACAAGCAGATTCTTCAAGTTTCTTTGATTCAAGTTAAATCTACCGCAAAAACGGATTTGTCTAACGAAGACGAAGGCGATTGTCTTCTGGTCGAGGAAGAGGGTACGCGAACAAAGGCGGTTCGCCGTCCACGACGTACGAAAATGCCTCTAATGCTCAGGATGATCGACGTTTTCGGCTACCTGAGGTCACTGTTCAAGGTGCAAAAGATCTCCGAGGACACCATGATATTTCGTCTACATTATCGTGCGACAGTGGCTCTTTTATTAGGGAGTTGCTTGACTTTGGCCTGCAAGAGTATCTCCGGTTCGCCTATACACTGCGAGGCTTCCGGTTCCGTGGATAAGGTCGTTTTGGAGACGTTTTGTTGGTTGCATACTACTTATAGTATGGTGCACGCGTTTAATATGACCCTTGGACAGGCGGTACCTTATCCTGGTGTGTCGAACAGCAAAGGCGAGGGGATGCATGGCCATACCTCGCATCCTTTGGTTAAACAGCACAAGTATTATCAGTGGGTCATCTTCTTTCTGCTGTTACAAGTATGTGAGAATTATTACTGCGTTGAGTAGCATTACCGTTAGGTGATGGGTAGAATTATAGTATGTAATAAAGAGAGGAAAAGGATCCTTAATTTCCCCCATAGCTCTTAAATTATTATCACAATACTTTTACCGAAATTCTGCGGTATTGTCTAAGGTATCTTATACCATTAGGTCGTAGGGTTCTATTAGTTATATGATCCGATATTTGATCATATTACCAGAATCCTAACTGGGATCTAACCTAGTCTTGATCAAATTACTGAAGCTCTGTATAACTTCAAAGAATAAGACTTGTTTAGACAAAAGAAGACAGGTTTTCATACCCCACCGTTTCGTTATCGATCAATCTTAGCTACATCATAATCATACACATAAGTCAAGGTTAGGCCGAAGACCTTCGGTTGGCTTTGTTCGAACAGTAATAACCTCGTCTTAATACAGAAAATAGGCAGATATTTCGTCAGAAGGTTACTTTCTACGTAATTAGAAAAGAATTCTTGGAACCTCCTCATTTCTTTTTTTCGCATTTCTTTCGTTCATCTTCGTTGAACGTAGGTGTAACGAAATGGAAGGGAAGTGTCACTCGTTCGAAGAGAGATGTACCATAGGGATTTCCGCTTGTTTGGCCAATTTTACTCATTTGCCGGCTGTCTCCAGCCGGAACATTGCTCTTTTTCCTGGGAAGTGCGAACAGTACGTGTATCCAACTGGCACGTGAGCACGATGTGAAATATAGTTAGCTTCGGTCTATTTTCATCCATGGATTTTCCCTTTTTATTGGACCCGCGCGAACGCCGCGTAAAACAAGCGACCCCTTTCACCGACCAAATTTTTTTCTCTTCAGTAAATTAAAGAATTAATGAGGTTCATAATTATCATTATTTCTTTCCCTAACGCATGGATTGATCGCAGACGTCAAAGCGTATTGGTCCGCCATATTGAAACATGGCAATAACTTAATCAAAGATCTCAACTTCATTTTCTAAATTTTATATTATTTCTTTTAGATACCATATTTCTGGTATATGTACATACGTGTTTCGTTTGTAGAATCGGCTGCCATTACTTTTGTCAAAAGGGGTGTATCATCGTACACTCCAGATTGTTATTTTGTATGGTTTACACAGATTTGTAAATGTATAAAATGTAAAATTGTATGTAGTTAAAGTATTGACGTCTTTCGTTTTTTTTTTTTCTTTTATATAATCATGTACTACTGTGTGTCACTTGGCACGCAGCTAAGGATACGAAATTAGATATGTATTTCATAGGGAACGATAAAATAGCAATAAACGGTGAATTGATTAATTACTGTTGATTTAAGAGCAATTAATTCGTTTAACGAGTTTACGTTGTCGCGGAAGCGCGAAATGTTTCGTATTCCATTAGGAGAGTCGTTAAATTTTGTAATGTTGCTTTTAACGCTAGTTCGTTCGGCGTTTCACGAAGACATATGAGAAATAGTGACGTAAAACTGGATAGCATATTGTTTTATAAGAACAGAAATGGACATTTTCATTCGTATTTATCCAAATATTCATTTAAATGACAGTCTAAACTTTTAAGATACGAAGTAATAGAAATATAAAAAATGTTTATTAGCAAGAGTTACATGATATCGAAAAAGCAATAACATAGCAGTAATAATAATTCATAGTTATACTGGTACTATTTGTTCATGGATGATCAAGAATCTTTGATTTGGAGTTGTTTTCAATGAGCGAAGAAGTTTGCCGCGTTGTGTACTGAAAGGTTCATTCACGTTTTTGGCACATCTGGTACATTTGTTTGTGAGTTTTCAGCAAATAGAGTGAAATAACACTTGGATTTTAATGCGTGTTTCAGCGTGAAGAGAGAAGACAACTCGATGTTAAAAATAAAAAAATCACTATCTTTTAATTTCCCCAACTAAATAATTAGCAGAATTAAAAACTGTAAAGATAGTGTGAATAAATTATAATAGCCTAGTTTGATTAACATTTGCAAAATTTTGTTTACAACTCTACCATTTTTGCAGACTTGTAAAGTTTTAACAGTTTACAGAGAGATAACGGCTTATTTCCGGCATATGGTTCCCTTAGAACTTATTCTCTTAAAAAAAATTAATCATCAATTATTTAATTTCAATTATTAATCATGTGTCTTATTCTGTTTCATAAGTAAAACCCTTGTCATAACATTCTTCAATATAAACAAACTTCGAGCACGTAGCACACAGTATCGTTTGATTGAACATTTAGAAATGACAACATCAAACGAGCTCTTATCGTAATCCCCACTGGAAGTTAAGGGAACACCAGTTCCTCGTGGCCTTTCATTGTTCAATCATAACACATTCCTCAATTGTGTTTCTTTTACTACCGGGTTCTCCTCATGACTAAACCGTGCGAAATTGAAGAGATTCAGATGTCAGGGCAATATGGTGCTAAAATGAAATGTTAACTGCTGTTTCTCTTCAAGACAGTGAATTATTATAATACATTTTATTCGAATTACTACTAAAGTTATTCTTATATTACATTAGTGAACAGTTACTGTTTGTGTATACAGGCGATCCTCTTTTATACGCCACGATGGTTATGGAAGGGGTGGGAAGGTGGCAAGATCCATGCGTTAATGATGGACCTCGACATCGGCCTTTGTTCCGAGGTCGAGAAGAAACAGAAGAAGAAGATGTTACTTGACTATCTCTGGGAAAATCTTCGCTATCACAATTGGTGGGCTTACAGGTATTACCTCTGTGAAGTTCTCGCCCTGGTGAATGTTGTCGGTGAGTGGCACGTTACTTTCTTTCCCGTTTCTTTCGGTCCGCGTCATTTTTAATATATTTCTCTGCGACTAGGAAATTTATTTACATAAAATTAACGACAAATTTTTACTATTTTTATACTTCGAATCGTTCAGATTATTATTTTTAGCTACATAGGTATTTAAGCTCGTTTCCGATAGACTCAGGGACGCATTTTTCAAATAATTACACAGCGAAAGTAATTTTGGCACGTGTCGTTAATCCGTTTTCATTTGCTCGAAAAAAGTCTTCTAAGAACGCGAGACGAGTGTCCCTTTGATCTTTGACTTCTCTTTGAAAAGAACAAACCTCTGTCTTTGCCTTTTTTAGTTATTTATAAAACTACGTGCCTGAATTCTGAGTCGCCTAAAAATGCGACTTTAAGAAAAATATAACATCCTGGGTTAAAAAGTAATTGTATAAATTTTATAGAGTTGGTAGATAAATATTATTTAATTCTTAAGAATACATTTCGTTTTTAAGATTCAGCCATTCGTTACATTGATGTTCCATGTAAAATTGAACATCAAAGCTCTTTTTGCTCGAAAATGTTCTAATCCAAACACTTTTGTGTTTCAAACTATCCGATATTGTATGTTTCTCTTTAGCCATCACATTCTCCCATTTACCTTTCCTTCGCCATTTTATTCAAATCCCATTGATATGTTTATCTTCTTTCGGATATTTGTTTTGTTACTTTTAACGATTCCATAATTCTTCGGAAGCTGACGGAATTTAGGGTCTCGTTTGCTTTTGTTTCATAATTTTTCTTCGAATCGGCACATTTCTACGATTTTTTACCAATCCCAAGACTTTCGATACGTTCGTAAACTTCGTCTACATGTAATTGTTACAAGGAAATTCGAATAAAAGTCATTTTCATCATTGTCTACTGTTTTAGAAATCATCGTATCTTGTCTCAAAATGGGACAAATTGAAATATATTAATTTCTTAAAATACATAGAAAATTAAATGAAAAGTAATGAATTTCAATATTAACTACAAAGGCTAATATTCATTTAACCCTAAATTAGCACAAGTTAATCACATGAAATATTGGTACGGAAATGAAAAGTGTGTAAATAGTAAATTTTAAAGAGATAGAATAACAGGTAGCCAGTGAATGAGCGATTCACAATAAAATTTGGCAACGATACAGCTGGCCACCTGCTGCATTCGAACAACGAATCTATGCGACCGAGTGTCACTTTTATTTAATGGCTACTTTGCTCTCTGACATTCCTGTCAACCCTTGACATACCATTCTTCAACGTTAAGACTCAACGTTAAATAACATTTATATAGTAGATACATTAAGTAGGGCTCAGAGAAAAATACTATTAGTTAGATTACTCGACAATACGAATCACAAGAAGGATTTAAATGTGCGCAGGTCAGATGTTTCTGATGAACCGCTTCTTCGACGGTGCCTTTTTGACGTTTGGTATCGACGTGCTCAGGTTCCTCGAATCGGATCAAGAGGACCGGGTCGATCCAATGATTTACGTGTTCCCACGGATGACCAAGTGCACCTTCTATAAATACGGCGTCAGCGGTGAAGTGGAGAGACACGACGCCGTTTGTATACTGCCCCTGAACGTCGTCAACGAGAAGATATACGTATTTCTATGGTTCTGGTTCCTCTTTCTCGGCGTGCTCAGCTTCGTAACGGTTTTATACAGGGTGAGTGGTCTCTTTTCAACAAACAACAATATTTTTAACTCTTAAACAGCAAAATTTTCGGATGGAGCCTTTAGTCTTGAGAGAGTGATGGATAGGATAAGGAGATCGAACCTAATCTACAATTTCCTAGAACCATGTGTAAATAAAGCTAGCGATCATTCCTTGACTTTTTGCAGATCGTAATTATATTTTCGCCGCGAACGAGGGTTTATCTTCTAAGGTTGCGGTTTCGTTTGGTCAGAAGAGAAGCCGTAGAGACGATTGTTCGAAGGAGCAAAGTAGGCGATTGGTTTCTTCTCTATATGCTCGGTGAGAATTTGGACTCGGTGATATACAGAGACGTGATGCACGAGTTAGCGAATAAGCTCGCGTCCAGACACCATCATAGCGTGCCTGGAATCAAGGGAGAGCTTCAAGAAGCCTGATGGAAGTGAGTAATTAACATAATTTTCTTATTACTAAAAACGGATAGCTGAAAATCACCAAGGAGCCACGATACAAATTTTAACATTCTAAAAAGTATTAAATCGATTTGTTTGCACTATAATTTTCACATTAAAAGATTACATAGGTGTCAACTGATGGTGTAGGGAAGCCTACACTAGCGCCCTCACCTTATATCGACGCTTCACGATTTTACGCCAAGGACAAACGAACCTCGCTCTCGTTTACCTCCAACTGTTCTCATAGTATTATTACATATATTGTGTTATATCTGACCGGTAATATCAACGTTTGAATTGTCGAAAGCACTTAGCTAGAGCAAAGTTACATAAAACTTTTGAACAAGGCCTCTCGAGCTTCGACATGTAACATACTGTCGATACTCGACCTCGCAGGCATAAATTCACTGGCAACAAGCTTTTGACACTAACACGTTCTCCTATTTTGAGCCGTTTAACAGCTTCATGCGAGATGCATTCGTTCGTTACATTGAATTTTAATCGCCCAAGAAACAACGTTACCCGGAAAGTAACGGCGTGCGAAATATCAGCTACAAAAGGGAAGAGCGCAGCACTGAATGTTTCTCAATCCTCTATACGTCCCACCATCATACGATAAACTTATATGGGGTCATTTTCTTGTATTTTTTTGTTTTTTAGCATTAAAATCAAAAGACAAAGCTATAATTTGCCTGAAAAATGGTTTTAATTAAAAAAAATTTAATTGTATTTTCAGATTGCCTCGGAGAGCCGTGGGAGCGATTAGGATTTTCGAGGCGAGTAGAATACTTTTCGGCCAAAGATGGAACGAACGATGCCAAAGATGGAGACCCAAGGATGAAATAGAACGGATTACATTTTTATTTACAACTCGGCGTCTGTGTTTTTCTTATCTATTCGATAATTGACTGATGTGTACACAGGGATGATCATAGTTCGATGAAGGTTGATCATTTCGCGTAAAAGACAAATTGCCATCTTACGACGATCTTTTTTTTTTTATTTTTCAAGTATTCACCGTCGAGCTCGAGTTTCGCGAAGTGGACTCAAAATTGCATCCTTTTCTTTTATGCAGTTCGAGTCTAAGGGACATCAGTATAGTTTTGTAACCGTTGTGAAAATCGATGACGAAAACGAAGATACATGTATTCCCTTTGCTTTAAGCGTTCTACCTCGTTAAGTTTCGCTGAAAATCGGAGTTTGACACTCCGCCATTTTCTTATAGACACACCGGTAGGGATGCAACGAGGATCGATGTATTTTCTTTCACAAAGACTGTGCGAGAAGGAGACTCGTGAGGATAACTTTTACCAATGACTCTTGAAATAAATGTATTTTTATTTAAAAGGTAATTTAATAAACATAGTTTATCATACTAATTGTGGAAAGATATTGTCGTCGAGAAATTAGCGAGAAATTTTCTGAGATTCTCTAAGGGGTTGTTAGAATTTTGTAAGACTAGTATAAGAAGTATTTCGCAGGGGTTATATTAAGACCTCTGTAACAAAAACTTGAAAATATAAAAATAAAATCAGTGGGTTTTGCAGCAATCTTCTTCAGGATAATTTCAACGAAGCACCACCGTTACTGCAATTTCGACAAACGGTGCAGGTTCCTCGGGTACAATTGGCAGTTTCGTGAGAAGAGGATCAGGATGACGATGGGGTACGGGTCACCATATTCGGAAGTGCGAGGACCAACCGGTCCGTTGGTCCTGTTCGACAGTCACGAAACAACGGGTTTGAAAAGGAGACAGAGGTGAACGCGTTCCTTCTTTGTAATCTGATCGAGAACACTGGCATTTAAAGGACCCTTTACATCCTTTCACTGTCCACGCCGTTGGTCCAATCACTGCCCCGTATCAATTCCGTTCTAGTATCTATTATTTTTCTATTAAGTTCCTGTTATGATAGTTTCATCCAAATAGATTTTTCGTTTATTTTTATCTTTCTATAGATGCTGGAACGTTAAGCATGTCGATTGACACTGGTAATTATTAAGGGAAGACCCAACCACTAAATTTTTCTTAAATTCTTCTAGAATCAAAAGCAAATGGTGGTGGGAGGCTCCCTCTTCTAACCTTACCCTTAACTAAAGGAAGGTTAGGTTACATTGTCCCCAAGTGTATTCCCTAATAGTGAAGAGTAGGGGTTAACATGCCAAATAGTGCATTGTGGTAGCGGCTTAAGGCGGTATAACATACAGTCCTGGTATATTTGACTTCTAAAGAAAGAACCAACAGCAAAGGAATATGTTAAAAATGTTACTCTTCTTTTTTTGCTGTTGGATTCCTTTATTCAGAATCATCTGTAAACAGCACGGTTAAATTATCGACATTTCATAATTGTTTTCTTTGAATGAAAAGAAAGAAAGAAAGTTAGAAGAGATGAAAAGAGACGGAAAGTTTGGGTGTGGGTGTCCAAGGTCTTCAGCTTGCCATTTACGGCCGTGTATGAAACCGGACACAGTAAACTGCGACAATGAGCGAGAAGGAGGTAAAGTTGAAAAGAAACGTAAAGGCAAAGCGTGTTTTGGTCTTATCGCGAGCTGGCAAGATGGCTTAAATCTACATCTCGAAGGAGTTTGACTCTGTTCGCTCGCCATTCATTCCAGGGAATTCTTATTTCACACTTGCTGTTAACGAATTGAATGTAACAATTCTGCAAACGTCTTTGCGGGGTGACATTCTTCGTACTTTCTTGAAAATTAAATGTCATATGTAGAAAATAAAATATTCCACTTTCGCTGGTTATTACGTAAAGAATTGCCTGATGTACGGTTATGTCATAACTGCTGATATGTCTTGTGCCGTATTAACAATTTATGTTTCAGCTGATCCGTCCGATGAAACTTCATAGTTTCACCTGTAATTTTGATTACCAATTAATTTATCAGTTGGCCGAGTTAATTCGACCCAGACCTGCTTTGGTAAATATTCATCATTTATTGAAGAGTGCATCTTCACCCGTAGGACCATTCATTACTTTGTTACCCAATCATCACCCAAAATCTCAAATTCCTTTGAATTTTGAACTTGCTAAAATTCTCTTATTAATAAACGAAGGAATATCGTAGGATAAATTTGACAGCTTCACAGAAGCCGAAGACATCATGTAGAGTATCTGGCTGGAGGTTGCAGAGTACAGGGCGACATAAGGCCACGCATTCGCAGGCGTAAATAGGTGGGTGGATTGGGTAGGCAGGAAGGATAGCCGTAAGAACGCGAGAGTGGCGTGTACACATGCGAGGCCGTGTACACCGTAGAAAAGAGAGGGAAGCAAACCGCTCGGTTTGTTAAGAGGTCTCTCCTGTCGCAGGTAAAACGTCGTCTCTGGAAAGTGAGTTCAGTCGCGGCCGCGCGATCGCGTCGAACGATATTTGTTTGCGCGTGCAGCTTGTTCACTTCTAGGAGCGTTACCGTTTGGCTCCGGGAAACATCGGTGTGCCTTGAAACAGCATCCTCGCACGTTGCCAGCGAGCGTACCAACCAGACAAGGTAGGAGAAACTACCTGTTACGTTTACTACGTCGATATGAAAACAGACGTTGTTGGTCGGTTTGGCTAAGCATCGCTTACCTAACCGTTGTTCAGTGACAAGCGCGATGTTTGTCAGCGTGAATCGTGAGAGTTCGGGACACGGATGCGTGCACACGATGATTCGAATTGGATGACCACATTCGGGAGATACACCCACGTAGATCTAGTAGAAAAAAATTCGATGAGGTTTGCCATTGAATTTCATGACACTAAAGGTCTCTGTAATTCCATACTGACAACGACGGTTTTCACTTTCTAGAAAAAAAAAGAGAAAAAAAGTATTACTCTTTCCGGGAATGGAATGTATCGTAGCCATTAGCATGGCTATTAATGGAACAGGCCGGTCGGTAAGTTTAAGAAAGCGAACGGGCGAGCGTGCAAATTAATTACTTTCACTGGACAAGTTATGAAATGAAAAATTTCTGATGTGGCTCCGCCAATGGGCTCCAGTTACTTCGCAACGAATAATCCCTTCGTGTCTGGCTATTATACGGAACACGATCACGCAGGGAGGTCCTCTTTTTCGCAAACTTCTACATTTCGGACCCGCAAAACGACGAAACCGCGCGGTTAAACGACTCGACTCGGCTCGGCTCGGCTCGGGATTCCGTGCCTCCTCCCCCTCGTCGAAAACCGGTCCTGCTCGCGGCCGCTAGCCGATTTTGCCTGGCAAATACGCAAGATCGCCATCTTGGATCCGCCGGGGATGACGTCATTGGTACAAGGCACAGTCGCTTGCTCAATTCTAGCTGCAGCTAGAGATGGAAACATAGGCCGCGTTCGACTTGATGCCTTGATATTTCCTCCTTTGGCTTTCTTCAATCTTTAACCAATTTTAAATCACATTATTATTCACCTCTTTGCATGGAATGTTGAAACGTGGAGGACAATGAAGTTAGGACTTATGTTCCTATATTTGAGGGTTTTAGGGTGAACTTAAATAAGATATCTCTTTTCAAAACCACTATTATTGTCTTTCGATGTAATATTAAAAAAATTATTTTCTCTTCTTTTTAAGTATATTTGAAATTTTCATTTTTCGGTATTGTAGTATGAAAGAGTATTTTAAAAAAGATTTGTATTCTCTGGTATAAATTGTTACGTCTGACGGAGGAAGATTCTTCTTTATTTTCTGTAGATGGAATGAGTCGATTTACATAGGAACGTGACCTGTATTGAATAATGGGTAAACAATGGGATTGTTGCTGACGCCTTACGCCCATTAGATCTTGACATCGTTGAAATGTCTCATTCTTTTCCCATTGGGTATTCGGATAATTATTACAATTTTCAGAATGTAAGTTTTGCTATTTCTTTGCTTGCGTCAGGCAAAAGATAAGACGTCCCACTTTCGAGGAATAAATGTTTTCTTATCATTGTCGTTAACATTTTCTTATGATTTTTTACGAAGGCAAATGACAATAAGAAAAAGATTTATAAATAGAAAAAATTCATTGGGATTTTACAAACTTATCAATTCAAATTAGCAATTTAAAATTCACCTCAAGTATTTCTGCTGATTTAGCACGATCTTTGGATTTCTAAATGCAAATTATTGGTTTGCAATACCGTAGAATTGCAACTTTTACTTTTGATCTTTATTTCGTTTGATCCTTTTTTAACTCGTGAAGTGAAATGACCCTGCTCTTCGAGCAGCCAATGCTGCGACCTGCTACGCTCCTCTCCATCCTTCGGTATGCAATGTTAGGTACATATAAATATGCAATAGGACCCATCCCAATATGAACGAGCCTTTAGTTACCAACTGCAGATGAGTTCAATTTAATATCCCAGATTAGTTTTTCAATTATTCTGATAACCAGCGGTTCAACTACCCTTGTGGTATGCTAGACGGCGAACTCGGTATATCAGCGGTATACTACTAGTACATTCACGTTGAATTCGATCACAGCAAAGGGTTAAATACAAATGGTACATCGTATCGGCTTGTTTGTACAGTATTTTTGAATGATCCGGTATATTCACGGGCTTCGTGCAAGGGCAACAGAGCATATACGAGTCCGAGTTTTGCGTGTGCGTGGCCAGTGAAAGTAGAGTCTTTGTGCAATCAGACGACGTTGTCTCCTTCGGATACTGGTTCGACTTTAAAGGCTCGATGCCTGTCTCCTAGACTTTCAACCGGACTGGGTGTTAACGTCACTCTTGTTATGTTGGCTGCCTTCGTTTTTTCACCGAATCGTGCAACATTTTCATTAGCCCCTAACGTATAATAATCGTAATGATAAACTGAGACGTTTAGAATCCAGAGATAAATTTTTACGATTGCTTAAGTCCTATTGCAATCGAGGATTATCTTCTCAATAACAGCAATTAATCTTGACAGCATTTCATGCTATTCATTTGCTGTTCCATTTAGGGTAGTTAATTATAAATTATCAGTCTCTTAGGAAATATGGTAAATAAGTATAATTTAGGGGTGTCGAATGAGGACATATTTGAGAAGAAATAGAGACAGATTTTTCCTGCCTTGGTATTTTATTTTTAATGAAAACGAAAGTAAGAAAAAGATTATTTTATCGTGAATAATAGTGAAGCTTGGTCTAGTTTTCCTATTGAAATAAGATGAGAAACGTGATTTATGTAAATATACGAACGGAATTCGTACCAAGGACGGAGATGCACTGACCTCCCTTGGCATCGAGAAGAAACAATCGTGGGAGAAGAGTGTCGTAGCTTGACATTCCTCGTTGAATCGTGAATTGCAAACACGTAAGAGGAGCCTACACGAAAAATACATGTCCGAGCGATGCGTTCGTCCGATTTGGCGACTTTGAACGTGATCGACAAGACGATTCAATTCCTGTACCTCTTAATCGACACCTTTCACGTGACGCTCGTCCCACCATTGATTCATTAATTTTTGCACATGACGTTACGAGTCGTGATAAAATTACTGAAAAGGGACTTATTGATATTTTTAATCCCAAAGGTCAAGGAACGGATTTAGTTTATATTCATTCTTAAATTTTTATTTAGGGTTGGCCAGGTCCTCCAGCTTTACTGATAGCGAATTTTAGAATTTTAGAATTTCAGATTTTTGAAATCTTGTAATCTTAGAATCTTAAAATCTTAAAATCTTAGAATCTTAGCCTCTAATTTTTGGAGGTACATTAAACAGTTGACTTCATTTCTCTCTCAAAATACCATCCTTCTCGTTAATACCAATACTTCTACAATACCAAGGCGTATCGTAACCCGTACCTATACCTTTTGCACCATTCCTTCAACTCTTTCCTTCAGTAAAATGTTTCCGTTACGTTTCAATTATCTAACGGAATGCTAGTGACCGGTGTTAGGTATTACCCAGCGCTAGGTGAATTGCTCCCATAAATCAGAAAAAACAAATGGGTATAGAAGGTACAGTAACTGCTCGATAATTCGCCACCTTTGATGCTCTAGAGGTGGAACTTTCTATGAAACAGGAAATCACCGAGAATACCAATGGTATGCGTGTATTCTTCACAGTTTGTTTATGTGACACAGCACATTCATTGACTATTATGACCAACAACGGGTGTTATTACTGGAGGGAAAAAGGAATAGTCTTATGGCTGTGTGATGCAACACGTGCAACTTAGTAGTGCCTTGAAGATTGCTCAAGTCCTATGCATCGCTGAACCGTGAAAAAAATGTTTGTACGAATGTTTTTTTTTATATCCATTTTTCCATGCCAGGTGGAAGAGAAAACGGAACTATGAAATGAAATCAACACTTTCTAGAATGTATCTTTTTTACCGTGTTATCTGTTCTATTGAGAAACATTTTTGTGGTATAAAAGTATCGATTAGTTTAATTAGAGGTTTTTAGAAATGGAATGCCTAACATACTTACAACAGTTTAGAAACTTTGCAAGCATCTATGCGACTCGTGATTTCTAAAAGCCTTTTCGAAAATATTTTGCTCCTGCATTTACGTTCTTCGTACGTATATAGACTTTAAAAATCAACTTGCTCCTTTCAATGTTCAAGGTCTTTCAAGGAACATTCACTATTTAATATTCAATCGCCAACGCTCTTTGTGAAGCATTCAAACTATCCACATCCTTTTTCTTAATTTTTAAATTTTAAATCTAATGGAAACTGTACCATCAGCTAGTTCCATTGTTCTTCTTTTCTCAAACAATATTTCTAAACTTCTAAACGTTCGTCATCATAACGTTAGATAGAAAGAATCGAGGTCTTCGCGAGATGGTGGGCGTGTGCGTGTGGAAGACAGGAAACAGTCGAGGTCGATATCGCGTCATCTTCATTTCACTTAATCGTCGAATGATCCACGAATAAAGGAGCAATAATCAATCCTCTATAAATGATAAAAAAGAAAGTTTTAAATTTACGATAGAAACTTGATACATTATCTGAACATCACACGAGTGCATTCAGGGTTAAAAGGATCAACGTAGATCAGATAGATCAGGTAATTAAGTAACGTTTTTTGTTCTCAGATCGGCGGCATGCGATCATCGTAGCGAGCGTCCAGGGACAAGGGGAAGAGATTTCAATCGTTTGAGCGGCATAAGCGATAAACGTGAGTACCAAGCAAATTAAAGAAACAATATGATTGTGTTTTAATATAATTACAGAATAAAATTCTTTTGTATTAAAAAAGACTGAAACATCCACGAATGATAGAAAATATGAAATTTATTTATTTATTTTTTTTTGTATTCTTTATTAAGAATTTGTTGCAGCCATCAATTAATATTAGATTAAAAATTTTCATTTGAAATATATATTTGATATTTTGACGGTAACGGAGCGGTGTCCAATTAGTTGTAGACAGTAGTACACGTATACTAGCCCGCCATTGATTCTGTGTAAAGGGAGCATTACCACGGCATCCTAACGGTGCGAGTGCATCGAAGCATGCCAGAACTTTCCTTCGTGATCCTGCATCACGCTACGCAAAGAGCTGTGAGTTTCGGATAAGCCAGGAAGTATCATAACGATTGTACGCATCATGCAAGCTTTCTATTACGAAACTCACAGTACCGTCTAACTTCGGTTGGAACGCGACACGGAAGAAATTTAATCCTCTAATGATTCCTCTTACAATTAGATGCTGATCCTTCTTGATGCGGTTTAATCCTACTCCTTCCTTGCAATTTTATTCATTAACGTCTTCTTTACTGTACTTGGTAATCAAAATCAAAATTAATAATTTTCTTTCTTTTTCATTTGAAAAGTTATTAACGTAAAAATAACTTGTGTAATTTTGTGAATACTTTGGTACAAAAATTGGCAAATATTGCAAAGTAGATGAATTAGAAGAATATCTGTAGACACGTATATCTTTTCAGAGGATATGGTGAGTTCTAGTAAATGTACCGTAAATTGGATTCGAAGAAAGCGCAGTGCGAGACGAAATTTCCGGGAATTTTTCACCCATTAGTATTCCTAGCTTACATCAGAGACGCGATAGAATTTCGCGTTGGGTGAGGCTGTAAAAAATGATTCTGCGCAATCCTTAACCCTTCGACAAGGATAAATCCATGTATGAGAATTCGAAGAATATCGTTATAATGGTTACAATTTCCATAAGTAAAAATGTAAATCATGTAAATTGTTAGACATACAGATCACTTGAAATGACTAAGCTTGGAATATTCTTCCTTTTTTGCTGTTCGTCATCCGATTGGATCAGCCAGTTAGGTACAGGAAATAAAAATAATCAATCGTCGTAAATTCAACTTCCGTGACGACAGTAATGAATCATGCGTTTATACATCAACCGGAAACATCATTGTTTAATTCATACCAGAAACTGTGTCCGTGATGAATCTAGCAAATGATAGTAACTTGGAGAATCATTCCTTTTCGGAGACAACTCCAGATACTTGATCCTTTCTTCGTTATTAAAATTTAAAATACAAACTACGTTTGTTTATTGCTACCAATGGAACCAATAAATTCGATGTACCTAACAGTAAAAACCACGAATCCTCCAACTTTCAGTTCCACTTTTCCTTTCATCATGCAGTGAAGCAACGCGTTCAAAAACTCCGTCCTCGGTTTTGTAATTCAACGTAAATTACCGTCACCGTTAAGAAATGAGCACAGAACAACTGAATGATACCAGTTTCTTATTGAACGCTGTAGCACGAGGAGAACGAGTAAAAATCAGATCGAACAAGCACAGTGAACGTCAGCTATGAATTCCATCTGATCTGACATTGAAGCTCGTTATACATTATGGCTTTCACGCCCCGAATGGGAATGTGATGTTATAGAATGATTTCAGGAATTTAGCAAATGACAAAGGTGACTTGCAATACGTGCACTGTGGGTTTCCCTTTTAGGAATATATTGTAAAAATAACTAGAAAAATAAAATTTAATATGTACATATTTATGATTAAAATTATGATTGTCATAGGGGCATTAAATTTGAAGAGGAAACATTTTAGTATCATCACTGTTACAGTCTATTGATTTAAGGTAGTTGGAAGGTTCAGTTGAAAAATTAAATGATCAGATCCTTGAACTCCGTAAAAGGAGTGTTCACTTTCTTTCCTACTCTCTTGGCATTAGTTTTCCTTCTACTAAGTCTTCTGATATTTGCTGCATATTCTCGCCTTGACCCACCATGTGGTTATTGCTACCCGGGGCTTAGCCTAAGTACCTTTGGGGCTAATCTAATTTCCTTCAATTTCCTAATTTAAATTATCATCATTATAACGTCTATGGTATTTGACATTTTTTAGTTATTTAACTAAATTAAATTTATATCACTTCAATCAATTATGATGCTCATACTGTACACAGAGCAACAATTAAATTTAATTCAATTCCACGTAAAGTTGCGACTATTAATTAACATAATTTCAGTGTCATTCGTTACAACATAGATTTAAATTGTATAGCGACTTCTCACGTTATTTTTGAGATTGCATCGGATAACATGATGCATCACATTAAACCTGTAATTGTTCATGAAACATTCAGTTTCTAATACGTCCATTAATATAAATTTCTTTTTCTCTTTTTTTATTTCCAGATGCTGCCGCGGTTGATAGCTGTGCTCTGTACAGCACTTCCGGTAGTGCTGTCTCAGAGCAACTATGCCTCTCAGGGCAACAGCATCGAGTACCAGCCAGGTTTGCCTCCGAGCACGGTTCTAAATGGCAAGGTAACCAAATTGGACGACATCTCGTCGATGATATTTCTGAATCGCACGAAGGCGTACCTGAATTGCAGCCAGGGTAGCATGCAGGTTGAGTTGAAGTTCGAGGAACCGTTTTACGGTGTCGCCTACGCGGATTTCGATCGTAACAGTGCCTGCATATTCAAAGGACGCGGATCGACCAGTGCTAAGTTAGAACTACCTCTAAAAGGTATGCTCTCCCTTTCGTGATTTACAGTCTGTTTGCTTCGATCCACCAGAGACTCAAGTTTTTCTTTTTACGAGTCCCTAACCATTTTGAAACCCACGCTAGGAAAATAATATCGTATGTAAATCGTGTTGCCGTAAATCTAAAGAAGATTTGCTCCCATCACTTGATATTGTAACTGAAGAATAAGGAACATTAAATGATTCTGGATCCTTTGGAATTTGGTGATAATTAATATAATACTAATTATTCATAAAGTATTGAAGTTAGGACAGTAGGTTTAAATCTCTTGGATTAATAATAATCAAATCTCCATAAGTTTATAAGTAAATTGGGTATACTTGATATTCCAGGATGTGGCACGAGGCAGGATCCTCAGCGCGTGTTCACAAACAACGTCGTAGTACGTTTCCATCCTGGTCTGGAAATGGATGGCGACGAAGTAATCACTATAGTTTGCAGATACCCTCCGCCTGTGGCGCCCAAACCGCCAGCGCCTCCTGCCAGCATGTGAGTTTCACATTCAATTTATTTAACATTCATAACAGATTCCACTTGATAAATTAAATTTTCTTTCTAAATTGATCATTTATCGTGTCTTTCGATACAATTTTGGTCATTGTCTGCAGATTGGCCATCCCCGCTCCTGCCCCGTTGCCCGAGCCTCCACTCAAGGGATTCCAGATACTCCTCATCATTTGTGCGATCCTTTTCCTCTCGTTGCTGTTGCTAGGCCTGGGATGTTCGTACATGTGCCTGAAGCGCAGGAACGTTCGCGTGATACACCGTCATCCATTCGGAAGTGACTCGGGTTCTGAGATAACGAAACCCTCCACACCTAATCTGGGCAGTATCATTATGTTCGAAGGACTGAAGATTCCTCGGCCTAGACCATTCCATACATCTACCTCTACCACTGGTAGTGATACGCATTTAATGAACCCCTCGCTACCCAGCGATTATCCGAGCGAGACCTCCGAGGTATGTATCTTCAATTGTTGGTCATGGTGATTGCACTTGGCGTAGCTTAGTAATAATTGGATTTACTGTTGTGGGCAAAGATAATCTTTGAAATCTATCGCTTTAACGTTTCTTGGTACGATGGAAGATGGCGGCACTATCTTCGGAAGATTAATTCAAATTAATCCTTATAGGGTGACGAAGAGCCTTCCTTGCCCGGATCATCGGCTGGTTCATACGACAAGCAGGTGTTCGTTCACCACGAGACTCATCAACGCCAAGAAATGCGTACCAATAGCTCTCTGTATTTGGATACGGTAGCTGCGGAAATGGAGACTTCATCGATGACGGCAATGAACGCTTCGAGATCAACTCTGCCCCGTCACATAATGGCAGTGCCCATCGAACCAAAGTTTGATGTACAAATGAGGGTGACGAAAGTGCCGCCAACTTCACCTAGCCCACTACCCTCCGAATCTGACATAGCGAGTGTTGCTTTAGAAAGGAATTTGACTACCATCTTAGAGAAGGAAGAGTCTAGCCTGACCCGTAGTTTGGAAAGTCCACCCGCCAGGACTACCTTCTCATACGTCCCAGAACTTCACGTACCTCCCGGAGGAAGCTCTTCCACTTCGACGATATCCAGACAACAGACTCCACCGGTTTATTCCAGAATCCTTCGAAAACAAGCGGAAAGAGAGACAACCACCAGCACCAGTGTTCTTCAAGAACGTATACCATCGCCCTCCCCCGTCGAACAGCCGCCCCTTCAACATCACGAGATTCGTAGGCCCAGATCATTGACTTCCTTAAACACAGAATTAACGGAAACCCGGTCCTTGACGGAGGTCACTGACCACACTCATGCCAAGTACAGAGTGGCTAGCATCCTGGCACCTACGCCTCCACCTCCTCCACCGATTGTTCCCACGGTCACGAGTACACACACTGCCGTACAGCATCGCGAACACCGGCTGTTCCGCGAGGAAGTAACGGAACCATTGGTGGAGCCTCAGGTGGTCGCTCCAAGACGTCCAGAGATAACGACTCACGAGGTGGACGACGTGTTCCTGAAGACAGTAACGGAGAAGAAGACGATCGAGGATGTGGAGCGACATCGTCGTCAGGTAACCGAGTACCGAGCTAAGCCTCCGCCAGATCCAAAATGGGACGTGACCATCAGGAACTATCCAACCGAGAATCTCCCGCCTCCTCCACCGGAATGGGAGAACTTCTCCGACGT